GCAATCTTGTCTGAATTTCTGCTCAAACTCTCTGACCATTTTGAATTTTCCGAGTCCCCTCAGGCGACTGGAACATTCCTGGGAGTCAAAATAACACAAGACTTGGCTAAAGGCACCGTCGAGCTCAACCAGACACATTTTATCCATCAGATTGTTGAGCGATTCAAAATACCTCAAAAGTCAGTGAGAAGCGTCTTACCACACGATTATGTCTCCTCCTACCACCTAGAGGATGATCTGGTGTTGAATGAGAAGCAAATTCGACTGTACCAAGCTCTGCTAGGTTCACTTCTGTATCTCACCGCCGCGACCAGGCCAGATATATGTTTTGCGGTCAGCCTGCTGAGCCGATTTGCCAAACGGCCTCGGGTTAGCGACGTCAAAGCTGTAATCCATCTGACTCAATACGTTTATAATACTCGTGAACAGAGCTTAACGTTCTCCCAATCGGGTACATTCTTCAATCAACAGCATTATCACAACACTCTGATAGCTGCGAGTGATTCCACCTGGGGAACAGATCCAATTACACGTCGTTCTCAAGGAGGGATTGTGATTTCTTTTAAAGGAGGTCCAGTTAACTTCTCCAGCAAATTGCAGAAGGTCGTCAGCTTATCGAGTACGGAAGCCGAGTTGTACAGTTGCTCCAACTGTGCGAAGGCGATACGGACGCTACGATCCATCCTGCTCGAACTGGGGTTTGTCGTTGATAATGCAGCGGTCATCCATCTGCTGAGGGACCGTCGCGCATTTTCGAAGCTTAAGCATATTGCAATTCGACATCGGTTCACTCTTCAGATGGTGGATGAAAACGAAATCATCGCTGTGAAGATTGCTACTACATACAACCCTGCGGACATTCTCACCAAGATCTGCCCAGTCTCCAAAATTCGTCAGCTAGCATCGTTCTTGTTCGGCAACGACATGTCTCAGGTCTCCGTTTGACCATCATTACGCCGCTGCTTCATGCAAGACCTTGTCAAGCTAGCCAAGCTCCCTGTACCTCGTCAGGGAGGGAGATGGATGATGCGGAGTCACAAGGGACCCACTTCAGCCTGAGGTCATCTGTTCGACACCAGAGACAGCCAGGGAGGGTTCACTAAATGAACAATCAAAATCAGGGAATATCATATCTTTTCACTATCATACCTGAATACTGAACTTCATGACAGGCTGAACCTCTGAGAACATCTGATGATGACATCAGCATCGAGCCTCGCATCATCCCTATGTCAAGTGACATGGACGAGTCACAGGGATCCCCCAAGCAGAGCCAGGAGTCGCACAAGATGACGACGAGGCCACAATACAGCTCTCCCACCATGATGATGAGTGTGGCAAAGAAGCTGAGGGGTGACATGACAGCGAGAAAATCTCGATGATGGAGGGATCAGTCCTGATCAAAGTCGCTCTGAATGTCAAAAGTGACAAGAGCTGTTTTCAATCCAACCTCAAAGCCTGTACGTGGCCAACAGTGAGGAGAGGAATTACCTCATGATTCCACTGGTCAAGCGGCGCCGTGATGTTGATACGGCAAGCAGAGCACGGCAGATGAAAGCTTGAAGGTTGTGAAGACCGAGGAAGGGAGACGTCCCAAAGCCTCGTTACAAGCCACTATATTGTGATGGCGACGTGATGACACTGTGACGAACCAACTCTACAGCAGAGTTGAAGAAATGAAAGGCAGCTTGAAGCGCCAAGCCTTCGCAAGACGAAGAAGCAGACGATGAAGATATACCTTCGATCGAAGTTATGAAATGATGCTGCAGAAATGAAGGAGGTCCCAAGTCGCCAGGCACATCAGTGCTGATGGGCGCTGAGGAGAACCTTTCAGTACCATGCACAGCCCTACTGCGAAAGTCAAGTCAAGAGGCTGATCGCTTATGGAAAGAGGAATATCAAGTCTGATGAGCAAGACCATACAGCTTCAAGGCAGACGACCAGAGACCAAGCATGAGTCCACTTGCTGTCAAGCAACAGCTCCCGCCTACTCTAGGCAAGGGAGGGAATACTGCGGCGACGACGCGCGAAGAGTCAACCGCAGCAGGTCGTTTGAAAGGCATAGTCAAATTTGACAAGCCTGACACCGTCAATGGAGGCGCGGCAAAGTAACAATGCTGGCATCGGCACACAAGAGCCAAGGGAGGGTGTTGAAGCACCTTATAGGAGGAAGCTTCACCTCAGACAATGCCAAGTAATCGACGTGGCTCAAGTGCACAGATGCTTAGAGCCTCGGAATGCATCCCTGGAGAAGACAGCAACAGCTACAATAAGGACGACGTAGGAGAATCATGAAGAAGACAGCAAGAACTTAGGACTCGTGGATGGCAGCAGGAGATAAGCGAGTCAGCTTATATCAGTCCACGACAGGACAGCAGATGACACGGTGGCAGGATACGGCTACGCTCAAGGGGAGATTGGAAGTATCACCCCTGAAGTCATGGACATGGGAGAACAAGGGGTCTGATCAAAGAAGACAGTACTATCATGATCATCTTAGCGGAGGACATACAAGGAATGCACGAGACCACCTCCAAGCATGCTCCTACGGAGACACAGGACCTGTCAAGGTCAAGGGAGCAGCTACGTCAACTTCACAGAGAGCGTTGGATGAGAATCGAAGACCTCGTCATGTCAAACCGGTAGTAGGGACCGAGGAAGAGGAAGAAGGGGCGCACGCATTTGCAGGACAGGGAAAGGAGAACGAGGTGTATGGTCTCTGTGAGACTGGATTGCTTGAAGTAAACAAGCTTGACCATCCATACCAATCTCTTATCACCTCCGTTTGTTCTCTGTATCCTGATATCTTTCCTGCGCGGCCATTCGTGATATCTATTACCACTGCTACAGAAACTTGCAGTCGGTGCTATCACTGTCTACTTCGGGTGTCACTGCTACTGTGACTGTGTCACCACGGTCTGTGGAGAGAAGGTTACTGGGAACTTCAACAGTCCCCCTTCACCAGGCCCGGCCCGGGCCTGGTGAAGGGCCTGCCAGCCCGGCTGTACGGCCGGGCAAGTTAGTCTTGTATGGAGGAACACGGATCATCGGATGTGAAACCGAAGCATCCAGACATGAGAAGTCCGCGTCACATAGTAAGGGTCGTCAGAGTATGGTCGGAAGAGTTTTGTCACTGAACTGGACTCAGCGGCTATCCGGGCCGGCGTGACATGCACGCCGCTCGGCAGGCATGCCGAGTCATCCATCAGCAAACCGCCTCCGAGGGCCTGTGGAAACGGCGTCCAACTGCTCGGGAATCGGGCCCGCACGGCCGGCCCGAGTCAGAGAGTGTTGAAGTTCCCAGTAACCTTCTCTCCACAGACGGTGACACAGTCACAGCCTAGCAGTGACACCCGAAGTAGACAGTGATAGCACCGACTGCAAGTTTCTGTAGCAGTGGTAATAGTTATCACGAATGAATGGCCGCGCAGGAAAGATATCAGGATACAGAGAACAAACGGAGGTGATAAGAGATTGGTATGGATGGTCAAGCTTGTTTACTTCAAGCAATCCAGTCTCACAGAGACTATACACCTCGTTCTCCTTTCCCTGTCCTGCAAATGCGTGCGGCCCTTCTTCCTCTTCCTCGGTCCCTAAAATAGGGGCTGCCCGGTCCTAGGAACTACCACTACCGGTACTCTACGCTTCTTATCTGCGATATGATTCTTCGACCGGTCCGAGGCCTGGTTCCGTACCTTGAGGGTCCCCTGAGAAAGAGTCATAGGCTTGACATGACGAGGTCTTCGATTCTCATCCAACGCTCTCTGTGAAGTTGACGTAGCTGCTCCCTTGACCTTGACAGGTCCTGTGTCTCCGTAGGAGCATGCTTGGAGGTGGTCTCGTGCATTCCTTGTATGTCCTCCGCTAAGATGATCATGATAGTACTGTCTTCTTTGATCAGACCCCTTGTTCTCCCATGTCCATGACTTCAGGGGTGATACTTCCAATCTCCCCTTGAGCGTAGCCGTATCCTGCCACCGTGTCATCTGCTGTCCTGTCGTGGACTGATATAAGCTGACTCGCTTATCTCCTGCTGCCATCCACGAGTCCTAAGTTCTTGCTGTCTTCTTCATGATTCTCCTACGTCGCCCTTATTGTAGCTGTTGCTGTCTTCTCCAGGGACGCATTCCGAGGCTCTAAGCATCTGTGCACTTGAGCCACGTCGATTGTTTGGCATTGTCTGAGGTGAAGCTTCCTCCTATCAGGTGCTTCAACACCCTCCCTTGGCTCTTGTGTGCCGATGCCAGCATTGTTACTTTGCCGCGCCTCCATTGACGGTGTCAGGCTTGTCAAATTTGACTATGCCTTTCAAATGACCTGCTGCGGTTGACTCTTCGCGCGTCGTCGCCGCAGTATTCCCTCCCTTGCCTAGAGTAGGCGGGAGCTGTTGCTTGACAGCAAGTGGACTCATGATTGGTCTCTGCCGGTCGTCTGCCTTGAAGCTGTATGGTCTTGCTCATCAGACTTGATATTCCTCTTTCCATAAGCGATCAGCCTCTTGACTTGACTTTCGCAGTAGGGCTGTGCATGGTACTGAAAGGTTCTCCTCAGCGCCCATCAGCCCTGATGTGCCTGGCGACTTGGGACCTCCTTCATTTCTGCAGCATCATTTCATAACTTCGATCGAAGGTATATCTTCATCGTCTGCTTCTTCGTCTTGCGAAGGCTTGGCGCTTCAAGCTGCCTTTCATTTCTTCAACTCTGCTGTAGAGTTGGTTCGTCACAGTGTCATCACGTCGCCATCACAATATAGTGGCTTGTAACGAGGCTTTGGGACGTCTCCCTTCCTCGGTCTTCACAACCTTCAAGCTTTCATCTGCCGTGCTCTGCTTGCCGTATCAACATCACGGCGCTTGACCAGTGGAATCATGAGGTAATTCCTCTCCTCACTGTTGGCCACGTACAGGCTTTGAGGTTGGATTGAAAACAGCTCTTGTCACTTTTGACATTCAGAGCGACTTTGATCAGGACTGATCCCTCCATCATCGAGATTTTCTCGCTGTCATGTCACCCCTCAGCTTCTTTGCCACACTCATCATCATGGTGGGAGAGCTGTATTGTGGCCTCGTCGTCATCTTGTGCGACTCCTGGCTCTGCTTGGGGGATCCCTGTGACTCGTCCATGTCACTTGACATAGGGATGATGCGAGGCTCGATGCTGATGTCATCATCAGATGTTCTCAGAGGTTCAGCCTGATTTTGATTGTTCATTTAGTGAACCCTCCCTGACTGTCTCTGGTGTCGAACAGATGACCTCAGGATGAAGTGGGTCCCCTGTGACTTCGCATCATCCATCTCCCTCCCTGACGAGGTACAGGGAGCTCGGCTAGGCTTGAGAGGCTTGAGAGGCCATTTTGATATCGGAACCCATGTTTGACTCCAGGCTCAGCAGTTACTACCGTTGTCACTCCACAGATACTCTCCAGCTGATGTCACTCCGAATGTGAGAGTAAGAGTCCACTGGTTGCCGTGATACAAGGTTTCTCGAGAAATAGAATATCTAGGCACTGATATTCTAAAATTTTTAGAATATGTTGAAGTTCCCAGTAACCTTCTCTCCACAGACGGTGACACAGTCACAGCCTAGCAGTGACACCCGAAGTAGACAGTGATAGCACCGACTGCAAGTTTCTGTAGCAGTGGTAATAGTTATCACGAATGAATGGCCGCGCAGGAAAGATATCAGGATACAGAGAACAAACGGAGGTGATAAGAGATTGGTATGGATGGTCAAGCTTGTTTACTTCAAGCAATCCAGTCTCACAGAGACTATACACCTCGTTCTCCTTTCCCTGTCCTGCAAATGCGTGCGGCCCTTCTTCCTCTTCCTCGGTCCCTAAAATAGGGGCTGCCCGGTCCTAGGAACTACCACTACCGGTACTCTACGCTTCTTATCTGCGATATGATTCTTCGACCGGTCCGAGGCCTGGTTCCGTACCTTGAGGGTCCCCTGAGAAAGAGTCATAGGCTTGACATGACGAGGTCTTCGATTCTCATCCAACGCTCTCTGTGAAGTTGACGTAGCTGCTCCCTTGACCTTGACAGGTCCTGTGTCTCCGTAGGAGCATGCTTGGAGGTGGTCTCGTGCATTCCTTGTATGTCCTCCGCTAAGATGATCATGATAGTACTGTCTTCTTTGATCAGACCCCTTGTTCTCCCATGTCCATGACTTCAGGGGTGATACTTCCAATCTCCCCTTGAGCGTAGCCGTATCCTGCCACCGTGTCATCTGCTGTCCTGTCGTGGACTGATATAAGCTGACTCGCTTATCTCCTGCTGCCATCCACGAGTCCTAAGTTCTTGCTGTCTTCTTCATGATTCTCCTACGTCGTCCTTATTGTAGCTGTTGCTGTCTTCTCCAGGGACGCATTCCGAGGCTCTAAGCATCTGTGCACTTGAGCCACGTCGATTGTTTGGCATTGTCTGAGGTGAAGCTTCCTCCTATCAGGTGCTTCAACAGAGAGTCCGGAGTCCGGGCCCGATCGGATAGCCAGGTCGCCGGGCCGGGTGCCGGGCCGGGGCGCCGCTGGTCACCCGGGTTCCACTGAGACTGAACTTCCGAAAGTTGACCGGAAACGTGACTTGATTTCGCATACCCGTTCATGTGAGGGGAATATGCCGGGTACTGTAACAGCCAGCAATTTGTACCATTACCGTCATATAATAGTATACAATATATATAGAAGTTTTAAATTTCATGTAGGACCCCTCGAAATCACGGGTCCCACATGTATTTAGACTGGTACCCTCATATAATGTTTTAAACTTATTTGTCGAGCTATTCAGGTAGGGGTACTTTGCAGTGTTGTATGAGGGGCAAGGGTAGGGTGATTTTCTTAGCCGAATCTTTTCATTTTTTTGAAATTCTGTTCTAGTGAAATTTACTGCCCTGGTGCCCTCGCTAATAGATCATAAAAACTTGAAGCTCTTCGATAGATTTGCCTATAAACATGTACAAATTGCCACATCGATACAATAAAATGTTTCATTTTCAAGTCAAAGTTGGAAACATTTTATTGTAGCCCTGTGAAGGGCCGCTTTGCTCAGCGCGCATGCAAGGCATGAGGCAGGTGAGGGTGGAAAAGCTGATGATCGGTGCTTGTTCGCAAGTGACATCACTGATGACAGATGCAGATGTCGGTATGGCTGCTTCTTGCTTGCTGCTCGTCAGCTGTACATGCCGATCGGCAATCATTCACTGTCGGATCAACCACCACGGTTGGAACTATAGCCGAGATGGCTCAACTGCACTTCGACCATGGCGTCAAGGATCTCAAGGCGACCAACTTGAAGATCTACTGGGGTCAGCTTGGAAACACCCTGACCAAATCGAAGCACACCAGCATTCTGTATCCTGGGCATGTGGTCGAGGTTTACATGCCAGGATTCACCGGAGGATCGAACTTCTTCGGTGCATCTCGTGGAAGCACCTAGAGCACTGAGAGCACGATCAGCTGGATGTCACAAGAGAACAGCATTGTGATCTCTCAGTCTGTACAGGAGCCTTGGCAGCAAGCCATCTCGAGCGACCTGTCACTGTCTGTGAGTGGACCAGGAGCAGTTGGATGCATGGGAATCGTCGGAGATTTATCATCGAATGCTTTCGACCTGAAGCAGCTCCGGGCGGACGTGTTTGACTACTGTGAGTGGAACGCTCAGCGAGCGATGCTGCGTCTGAGGCTGAGCAGCAATGCGCCTAGCGTCGTGACAGGAGTCTTCATCAGCAAAGTGAGCATGTATCTCAACTATGACACATCATCCAAGCAGAACGGTCTGGGATCTCTGCCGCCTCTCGGAGGCATCAACGAGGAGTGGCAACAGATGGCCTTCGTGTCTGTGTACGAGAGGCCCGCAACCACATCGACTGACTGCACTGAAGTGAGCCTTTCTGCCTTCGCTGCAGAACCCCCAGGGAACACAGATGGTATCAACCAAGATTTCAGTGCATCACTGTGACGATCGTACCATCCATGACCATCTACTCATTCCCGACATCGTCTACTCCTACAATCTTTACGATCTCTGGGCTGACTGGGCCTGGTGCACAAGAGCGAGTCACAGCGTTGTATCAGAACAAATGTCAATGTGAAAGCACTCAAGCAGGGCTCTTCCCAAGCAGGTTCCAGTCCATCAGCTACATGTTGCCAGATCTCTGATTTCTCCACGAGATCTACCGGACAGTTCGACACTCTCAACCCGATTACCTTCAGTTCCTCGACGAAGAGTCTTCAGACGGTTTGAAACCGTGGAGTCTGCCACGATGGGTGACAGAGGGTGGAAAGTACGGGTGGTATCTCCTGAACTGGTACGATTGGAGATTTGATGAACCTCGAGGAGCAGGCAACAGACCTAAGCGGACAATCATCGACAACTGCTAAGGTGCTCTGTCCTTCCCTTGCTGTGTGTGCCACGAACCGATAGTGTGTTCGTGTTATCAAATAAACTTCATTTGTGTGTGATCCAGCGGAGGTGCCTTGAGCATTCGCTGTGTTGCTTCTGGATTCCTGTATGTCATACAATACTTGTCAGGCTGCTTTGAAGCAGACTTCTGAACATCAACTTTCAGATAATGATTGGCAATTCTTGGGGGACGCTGATGACCTGGGACAAGACCGCACCTTCACGCAAGTGTGGAGCCAACCCCGACAACCGGGGCGATGGTCTCCATGCACCGCGGTCGCCATGGGGAAGGATGCAAGGGAGCCTCCTCAAAAGATCTCCGCTTAGTCAATGGCCTCGCCGCCGGCATCGGCTTTTCCCGCCATTGAGTTGGGGATGTGAATCGACAGAAGAATACGCTGACGTGGGTCAATGCAGTCCAGTATGCCCTCGAGCTCTACCAAATTGCATAGCTCGCACTGGGTCATTGCGGCACTAGATCTCTTGGAACCTTGAAGCGACAGCTCCAGGAGAGGTATCTACCGCCGAGCCTCTTGTCGCAGTTGGTTCTTCAACTCGATAATCTGCAACAGGAGCCTGCATGGTGTAAGACTCAATTCGACAAGCCGAGGATGGGGAGATATGACAATTTCATCAATTGCCACCACAGGCTCGAGCTCTCAAGGTGGCCGGAAGTACAAACATGGACGTGTGCAGGTCCAAGGGAGAAGATCCTGGAAGGATGGAGGCAACAAGAATGGCGCCCATGATACAGGCTCCTTGTTGGGTTTTCCCTTGTCACGTGTCCTTTCCCTGTTGCTTCCTAGCATCGAGAATAAACTCGATTGTGTTCACACCTGCTTCTTTATCTTTTGAGGTTTTAAGAGTATTCGTCTCTTGGCTGCTTAGACATAGACCTAGGGTGTAACGCGTCTTGGTAGTCGAAAGTTTTCATATTTACTTTGTGATGCAGCGTGGATTGATATCATGGTTTGAGGTAAACCATGCTTGCCATGCCTTGTGCTTGCATGTTGTCTGGATTCCATATTCAGGTTTGGATCGACGTTGGGTAACATAGACGCCAGCAGCAGTCAGACTGCTTTCTTGCACCTTGCTGGGACTACCATGCACTTGTCAAAGTTTTTGAAAGACGATTTACGCAAAAAGCAGGCTAGTATTCATCGGCACAGCCTTCATGGTCAGGTGGAACTGAATAGGTGATTCATCTCCTTGCTGGCCCTAGACAACGACCTTGACTCAAACGGCATCAGCTAGACATGGAGTACAGCTCCGACGGGTCTCCGATCAATGCTGACCTTTTGACATCACTGCTCGACTTGATGAACCACCCATCTGTCTCATTTCTCTAGACGATGCAATGGGCATACGGATCCAATTTGCTTGCTTCCAGCTCAAAAGATTCATTTCAGTATGCGTGACTTACCTTTGCTGTTTAAAATCAAAATTGAATTGGCACATTGGATTCGTCTCGAGATCCGCATATCGGTCTTGTATGATCATAGATGTTATCATCGATTGCGTTTCGCACCATCATACCCATGTCGTAGAGATGTGCGTTGGAACTAACGATCTGTTGCAAGATCATTCACAAGTACTTCATCCTTGTCGGCCTAGAGCTACTGCAGCACCATTGGGCGTCTTTTGCTATCTGCTCAGACCGAGTCAGGTGAGTTGCCGCGCCTGACTCAGTAACCCCTAAGCCCTCATCGGTCGGATTGAGATGGGCAGCTTGGTATCCTCCCACGAGCTAATGCTCAGCCGCTTCAATAACTCGAAAGAAGAAGCCAATGTCTGAGCCGAGAGGCAAATATTGCACAGTGTATGACAACGAGTCATGGATAGGACAGGTCAAGTACCAAATGCTCGCAAGTGGAGCCCATTCATTCAGCCAGTACTCTCCTGCTCGTTGAAGCAGCAGCCTGCAATCCAGTCTTGCACTTGCATGCAACATGTCCGAGCAAGTCGATGCGCCTCCTCACGCAAGCGCACTGAAGTCGTACGGCAGGGAACGTGCAGCTGACTCTTGACAGAGGAAGGGAAGGATGGTAGAGGCAGCAAGACCTTCAAGACATAAGTGTGCTTGAGAAAGCAGGAGGATGAGGGATTGCTAGGATTGGGCGAAGCTTGTTGGCTTTGGCGACGGAGTGCTAATTAGCACAATCGGTGCCAATTCATGGAAAAAACAAGAAGTAGGTTGTCACAGATCGCCACTTTCATCATGAAGAATTTCTCCTAGAGCTAGGAATGTTCATTGTGAGCCTTGTTTCGATGTGATCCACAGGGTAGGGATAAGACGAGGTGGGCTAACATTGATTCAACTGCGATGTACAGGATCTGAAACTCACTTGTTCTGAAGCGATAGGTGTGAGACAGCCTGTCAAAAGTTTGAAGTCAGCAGAGGAATCCTGATGGCCATGGGGTATGGGCCATAGGCAAAATGGTGCTTCGATGGGAGGCAGAAATCAGGACATCTTCAAAGTAGAGTACCTTAATCATCGTGGCCCTTTGACATCTTGATCCTATCCTAGCATCACTGATCTTGCATTTGATAACAGGATGATTGATTGTCGTAGATCATAGGCATCGTCGATGATTCGAGCTTTCTCTGACCCTAGCATCGTTGATCCCAGGACAAAGCATTGTTGATCGTAGCATTTGGTCACCTTAATCTCAGCATCTTTGATCCATGCAGCAGTCATAGGTTTCATCCTCCTCTGACAGCCTCTGCCCACCGAAGATGCTGCAGGCATCTTGCCATTCTTGCTGCACGTAATGCGCTCTCATGCTGACAGTCCTTGGGCAAACCCCAGTGCGAGCTGAGTTGCACCTCAGGGTGAATCGAGCCGCATAAAGGTTTGAATGCGTTATAAAGGGGTGGGGGTGGGGGTGCCTCTGTAACCAGGTGGACAGGGTGAGCCGTGACGTGGTGACATGGGTGGATCGGACAGGTGGAGGAGGTGAGAGGGGGTGGAGAGATGAAGGTAGATTATTGAAGATGAGTGGGGTGGTGCGCCATCTCCTGTCACGGACCTCTTGTAAGGTTTCAAGGTTATCCGAAGCTAGCTACCCGTGGCCTGCCCCCAACTTACCCGGGTGAACAGAAGGGTGTGGTCGTCTCGATCAGGGGGTGGAGGTGGACGTTTGAGGGGTCCATGGGATGTTAAACGATCCTCGTGGTGAAAAATGACAGGTGGAGGTTGGGGGGGTTCGAGGTCCGAATTTACGGGGTAGGGACCGTCCGAAACAGCACTGGAAGAGGGGTCCATAGGGTCGGGGGTGGTGTGGCTTTTCAAGAATGTTCTTCTGACCCTTCAGTACCCCTGCGGTCTCTGGAGTTCCTACAGGTGGGCTGGTACCCCCCCACCCTCCCTTGGAAAATACCTGGCAATCACCTCGATTACCGTCACATGAGGTAGGGTACCCTACCCTAAATGCCGATTTCATGTTCAAAGTTCGATGGCTCTGTCTTGATTTTTGAAATTATTGCGATAAATTTCAGAGTTGCTACCACGAGAGAACCTTTCGACCCCCGCTGGATAGGTCCGCTGTGCTCAGGATCAGCGCATGGGGATGGTGGGGGCTACGAGCATGCAGACGAGGGTTGCGGCGGTGTGGGGGAGGAAGACACTTGTATGGCATCTTCTTGTGATGTGCTCACTTGTACCTCTCACCTGCTCTGAGAGTGCTCCCTCGGAATCTTCTTTCATTTCAAGTACTCCAGCAATCTCCTCGTCCTCCTCCTCTACTCCAGCCTTCTCCTCCTCCTCCTCCTCTACTCCAATCATCTCCTCGTCCTCCTCTACTCCAGCCTTCTCCTCCTCCTCTACTCCGGTCGTCTCCTCCTCCTCCTCTACTCCGGTCGTCTCCTCCTCCTCCTCCTCTACTCCGGTCGTCTCATCGTCTACGACGTCGACTACTCCAGCCATCTCTTCGACTCCAGAAAGTACTCCGGTCGTCTCCTCCTCCTCGTCTACTCCGGTCGTCTCCTCCTCCTCGTCTACTCCGGTCGTCTCATCGTCTTCGTCTACTCCGGTCGTCTCATCGTCTACTACGTCGACTACTCCGGTCGTCTCATCGTCTACGACGTCGACTTCTCCGGTCGTCTCATCGTCTACTACGTCGACTACTCCAGCCATCTCTTCGACTCCAGAAAGTACTCCGGTGATCTCCTCCTCCTCCTCTACTCCGGTCGTCTCCTCCTCCTCCTCCTCTACTCCGGTCGTCTCATCGTCTACTACCTCGACTACTCCAGCCATCTCTTCGACTCCAGAAAGTACTCCGGTGATCTCCTCCTCCTCGTCGTCTACTCCGGTCGTCTCCTCCTCCTCCTCGTCTACTCCGGTCGTCTCATCGTCTGCGACGTCGACTACTCCGGTCGTCTCATCGTCTACTACGTCGACTACTCCAGCCATCTCTTCGACTCCAGAAAGTACTCCGGTTGTCTCCTCCTCCTCGTCTACTCCGGTCGTCTCCTCCTCCTCCTCGTCTACTCCGGTCGTCTCATCGTCTACTACCTCGACTACTCCGGTCGTCTCATCGTCTGCGACGTCGAGTACTCCGGTCGTCTCATCGTCTACGACGTCGACTACTCCAGCCATCTCTTCGACTCCAGAAAGTACTCCGGTGATCTCCTCCTCCTCGTCTACTCCGGTCGTCTCCTCCTCCTCCTCGTCTACTCCGGTCGTCTCATCGTCTACGACGTCGACTACTCCGGTCGTCTCATCGTCTACGACGTCGACTACTCCGGTCGTCTCATCGTCTACGACGTCGACTACTCCAGCCATCTCTTCGACTCCAGAAAGTACTCCGGTTGTCTCCTCCTCCTCCTCTACTCCGGTCGTCTCCTCCTCCTCCTCGTCTACTCCGGTCATCTCATCGTCTACGACGTCGACTACTCCAGCCATCTCTTCGACTCCAGAAAGTACTCCGGTCGTCTCCTCCTCGTCGTCTACTCCGGTCGTCTCCTCCTCCTCCTCGTCTACTCCGGTCGTCTCATCGTCTACGACGTCGACTACTCCAGCCATCTCTTCGACTCCAGAAAGTACTCCGGTGATCTCCTCCTCCTCCTCCTCTACTCTAGCAATCTCCTCCTCCTCGTCTACTCCGGTCGTCTCCTCCTGGACTACTCCGAGCGTCTCATCGACTCCAGAAAGTACTCCGGTTGTCTCCTCCTCTTCCTCTACTCCGGTCGTCTCCTCCTCCTCGTCTACTCCGGTCGTCTCCTCCTCCTCCTCGTCTACTCCGGTCATCTCCTCCTGGACTACTCCGGTCATCTCATCGTCTACTACCTCTACTCCGGTCGTCTCATCATCTGCGACGTCGACTGCTCCGGTCGTCTCATCGTCTACTACGTCGACTACTCCGGTCGTCTCATCGTCTACTACGTCGACGACTCCGGTCGTCTCATCGTCTACGACGTCGACTGCTCCGGTCGTCTCATCGTCTACTACGTCGACTACTCCGGTCGTCTCATCGTCTACGACGTCGACTACTCCGGTCGTCTCATCGTCTACTACGTCGACTACTCCGGTCGTCTCATCGTCTACTACGTCGACTACTCCGGTCGTCTCATCGTCTACTACGTCGACTTCTCCGGTCGTCTCATCGTCTACGACGTCGACTGCTCCGGTCGTCTCATCGTCTACGACGTCGACTACTCCGGTCGTCTCATCGTCTACTACGTCGACTACTCCGGTCGTCTCATCGTCTACTACGTCGACTGCTCCGGTCGTCTCATCGTCTACTACGTCGACTACTCCGGTCGTCTCATCGTCTACTACGTCAACTACTCCGGTCATCTCATCGTCTACGACGTCAACTACGTCGACTACTCCGGTCGTCTCATCGTCTACTACGTCAACTACTCTGGTCGTCTCATCGTCTACGACGTCGACTTCTCCGGTCGTCTCATCGTCTACTACCTCGACTACTCCGGTCGTCTCATCGTCTGCTACGTCGAGTACTCCGGTCGTCTCATCGTCTACTACCTCGACTGCTCCGGTCGTCTCATCGTCTACGACGTCGACTGCTCCAGTCGTCTCATCGTCTACTACGTCGACTACTCCGGTCGTCTCATCGTCTACTACGTCGACTACTCCGGTCGTCTCATCGTCTGCTACGTCGACTACTCCGGTCGTCTCATCGTCTACTACGTCGACTACTCCAGTCGTTTCATCGTCTACGACGTCGACTACTCCGGTCGTCTCATCGTCTACGACGTCAACTGCTCCAGTCGTCTCATCGTCTACGACGTCGACTACTCCGGTCGTCTCATCGTCTACGACGTCGACTACTCCGGTCGTCTCATCGTCTACGACGTCGACTACTCCGGTCGTCTCATCGTCTACCTTCAGGACACCATCCTTGAGTTCTCCCGTGCCGACTTTTCAGTTGTGTGGCAACGGAGTTCTTGACCCTGGTGAGACTTGTGATGATGGAAACACAATCTCTGGCGATGGTTGCAGCTCGCTGTGTCGAGTTGAGCCATACTGGACCTGCAGCAATCCGGTGGAGACCACGGAGGAGATCTTCTCGTCGCCTGTGACCAGCACACCTGTGCAAACAACGCCTGTACTGCAGATGACCGAGCATCTGTCTCTGTGTACATGGCTTGCTACTCCCCAGTGGACCGGACTCTCCGTGCTGAGCGGATCACAGTACGCAACGATGCTGAACCAGCTGACCATCTTGTTGACTTCCAACTTTCCTCTCAAGGTTGGAAGCAATTTCTCCATCATTGGTCTCAATGTCACTATCGACGGCAACCCCGACAATGTCTCAGTCTCAGGCAATGACATATTGTCTTATGCTCTCTGGTCGGATACAGCGGGCAAGCTTACCGTGTTTGTCAAGGCTGAGGTCAACTCCACTTCCTTCACTGTGCAGGTCGTCAACCCATCATACGGCAGAGATCCGATCACGCTTGGCGCTGTGTGCTCGGACTGTGTGAGCTTTGCTCCTTCCTATCTGGTCTACAATGCAAACCTCACAAGCGGCCTCGCCACGGTCGCCCTCGCACCCAGCTCTTGCGGGAAGGACGGCCAAGGGATCGCACTGTACGGCAGCGACTGTCAATACAAATGCTATGGTGTGGTCACAGATAAATATTGTGTCTGCAATGCGGGGCAGTTCGGGCCAGGCTGCTCTCAGAGTCTGGGAACTCCTTCTCAGGTGCAAACAAAGTCCATTCCGCCAGGTGAGGCAGCATCTATCTCAGGATCGGGCGGGCTCTCGGTGAGTCTTCCAGCTGGGGCTCTGCTGGGGTCTCAGACCATTAGCGTGGCGGTCTACGACGTGTCAAATCTTAACCTATCTCAAGGAACTACGGAGACGCTTGTACCAGCTGGGCCCGTGATCATCTTTACTCCAGCTGGTCTGCGGTTCAAGAAGCCGATAACCATCCGCATCCCGTACAATCCTGACAAGATACCAGCAAATCTTCGACCCTACGTGTTCTACTACAACTCATCGTCATTGAATCCGTGGGAGCGACAGATTTCTACCCCAAGACCGAACGCGACTCCTCCGGTCTTGGAGGCTTTGATCGATCATTTTTCGGGGTTTACTCCTCTTGGTGCAAATCCTCCCTCGAATAGCGATTCATCTTCTCCGGCTTCTTCGTCGACTGGTTTGACCACAAGCTCGACGATTGGCTTATCCACTCCATCCCCTCTCTCGCCCTCGCCCTCGCCCTCTCCTACTCCACTTTCTCCTATTCCATCTCCTTCACCTACTCCTTCTTCTCCTTCATCTCCTTCTCCTCCCTCTCCGAATGTTCCTCCACCACCGCCTTCTCCATCAGGAGGTGGCAGCGGTGGTGGTGGAGGCAGTGGAGGAGGAGGTGGAGGCGGCGGCGGTGGTGGAGGTGGAGGTGGAGCTCCAAGTCCGCCTTCAGCCCCAGCTGCTCCACCTACTTACACAGCCTCAAGCTCGGCCTCCGGCTTTGCGGTTCGATTGCAGGTCGTCTCGCCCATGTCAGACACCTTCTTCAGCTCCAACTCCGACCAGATCAAGCAAGCGCTGGCGGAGGGACTCAGACTCAACGTCGCCGATGTCAACAGCCCGACGGTCATCGGATACGTGCAACGACGGTCCAACCAATCTCTCTCTTTCTCGGCAGACTTGAAGGTGGACAACCCCTTGGGCTTTGTCGAGTCAGTACAAGCCAACGCATCTCAGACGTTGACGAGATTGAACGTGGCTTTCTCGCAGAGGAGCATCCCCGACGCTACATCTTTCAGCATATCATTGATACCGCCGCCTGCTCTGTCCTCGGGCGCGATCGCAGGGATCGCCATCGGGTCAGTGGGAGCAGGGCTGGTGCTGGTGGCTATCGGCTGGATGGTCTACAAGGAGAGGAAGAGAAGGAATGTGGAGAAGCGATACGCTATCTCTGAGCCGCCTGCACAACAAGCAGCTCCGCTTCCTGTTCAAGAGTCTCCAGTAAGTGCAGATGGCTTCAGCGTAAGCAGTCAGTTCGTTGTAGAACCGACCTTTCAAAATCAAGGTTTTCACTACTACAGATGGAGCTGAGGCCCTGACATGTCTTGAATTTTGAAAAACACAACAAAATCTAATAATCTTCTGTAACTACAATGATGAACTGTGATTTGAAAGCAAATAGATTTAACATGAAACTCGACACACACATTCGCTTTTGTTCATCAGACGATTACGTGTCCAAAACCAGGTGGGCGTGCAACAAGAAGATTATCCTCGTAAAACTTCAGCCCTTGTACGATCATGTCCAGAGAAACAGATGAAGCTCCATGTATCTGCTGTAGACTTCCACTGGCCGGTCCCATCGGCGGTCGGTTTGACCCTGACACTGCATGGAGATAAAGGCGGATCCTTGCAGCTTGTGGCTTGTCCTGGAGGAGGATACCAAGCTCTTGATCGGAGTTGATCAGGATCTTGTCGCCATCGTCATCTATGTAGCTTAGCTGCAAGCAGCTCGTTGGGAGGCCCTTGAGATCTTCACTAAAAGCGCTTTGAAGTCCTTCCATCACCATCCTGTAACCACCTACAGGATTGCCAAGATGATCGAAGTCAAAGCTCCAATTGAGATGTCTGAAGACAGCTTCTTTCTCTCTTTGTACAAGAGATACCTTGAAGTTCATCTCACGATGTCTCAAGGAGCTGGAAGTCTGCGCCCCTGACTTTGGCATGAACGAGTGTTCAGATGATAACCGCGTAGGAAAAGTTTCGTTCGATTCGACGTGCGCGTTGCGACTCGTTCTGCGAGGCCTTGAGAGGCCATGACGCTTGATAAACCGAGAGTACCAGCCATGAGACGCTTTGAAGTCTGACACCCCCATCTCGCTTGCCACGTTCATCGCACACTTGCAAATCTGTGACCTGCATCCCAACCCAAGACCGGCCTCTACTATGCATTCATGGATTCGCTTCTCCAGTTCTAGATGTGAATCGTTGGGAGCATAGCGCTTGATGCTCGCATGAAGACCACAACCAGATATGTATTTCAGTCTGCAAACATTCTCGGCCTTGAGAATTTTAGATATTGCGGATCTGCTCTTCCCAAACATCGTTGCGAGCTGGCCCTGGGTCATGAAGACTTCAGGGTTTGTTGAAGTATAGCACTTGATGATTTCCATCTTCTCTCCAAGAGTCAGGTTGCTCTTCTTGTTGTCAGCTTTCTTACATGAACCGCGGTCTGCCTTTGTCGTCTCCTTTGCTAGACTTGGCATGTTTCGAGCCCCTGACTCTGCAGATTCTTGTTGAAGAGGGGTTTGCTGAGCCATTGGAGGTGAGAAGAGACAAGGTTGCAGGTTCCCAAGGCCGCACAACTTGGCGAGAGTGTCGAAGTTCTTCACAGGCAGAAGTGTTTGCATGGCTGATGAACAAGCAGCTGGTCCTACCCGCCCTCAGAGGATAGGTCCACCAGACCACCCCACCCCCCTCGACCTCCTCGCTGCTTAAAACTAAACTCTCTGTAGTAAGAAACTCTTTCTTTTTCTTTTTTGGCAGAAGGTTCGCACTGCAGCATCGAAATGCCGCCGACAAATTTGAATATTTGTCTGCACCAAATTCTCAATGTGTCAAGATTTTTCGAAATATAAGCCATTTTTGCAGGTGTCAGATCGGATGTCCATGGGAATCTATAAAGCACTTTGGGAGGATATGAAGAAGGAAATATCCTACCGCTTTATACGGTCCCGCCTCAGGACGCATCAGATTGTTCTGAGGCGTGCCTACCGAGGCCTCCTACAGCTTATACCAACCAATTTTTTTCAATTTTTCCTACATCGCACACGACATGGGCAGGTGTCATGTTAATTACAATTGTAACCCGTTTAAGTCGAAAATATTTTGTAAATCCTTGCCGTTGAATACTTTGCCGTTGAAACTTTGCCGTTGCATTTGCGAACAGTTGCGTTTCAGTTTTCCGACGCCCTCTCCGACGCCCTTTCGGACTCCCCGAGTCCGACTCCTCGACTCGCCGCCGGTCAGCCTGCCCGGCCCGGCGCTCCGGTGTTGTAAGTATTTCAAGTTTGTAGTAAGTAGTAGTACTCCGTTTACTCAGAGTTAAGTTATCAAAAAATCAGTACGAGGACAATCAGGAGAGTTGAGGAGGCTTGACCTAAACCCAATCCTGCCAACTGCTGTTCCCCAAACTTAACTGATACCTTCACTTAACAGCGCGCGGACCATTCGCCCGCGCCTTGAGACGCATACCGGAATGCACCCGCGATGATGGCAGCGAAAGACAGGGAGGCCTTAAGCTGACGAAAGATCTTGGACCGGTTGCGTTTGTAAGTCGGATAACCTGAGACGTCTGGCGAGGCCGAGAGGCCATCCAGCGCTGCCGTTTCCTTGTTCGCCGAGCGATCCGCCAGCCACCACAGAAAGCGCAACGCATCGTCCTGCAAGAGTCCATCAGTGCTGGCGATGATGGGAAGAAAGGCCTTTGGCGGGACGTGCTGGGCATATGCATTACGATGCTCTACTGACTGGCATGCCGGGCTCGTCGTCCCACTTTCCTCACGACATTGCCTCCTCCGCTGGGTCTGGAGGAGGTTCGGGGAACCAAAGACCTCGGAAGCAGGCCGGATTTCATCGACCTACCTCCCAGAGGACACCCATCCATCAGCCTACAGTCAATCCCACATCCCCACCGCCCCCTCCTCATTCGGCAAATCTTTCGGCTTACTTTCACAATCTGCGTCCACAAGACATGCCTTGTGGTATGTCGAATTGGCACAGAGCCCTCCCTATCTTTGCTCAACAGGGACCACATAAGCTTCCGGCGTGCGCTACAGTTTACGCTAGACCCGCTACAAGGTTACCCGGACTTGCATTGCGAGGAAGCTAAGATTATCCGGAGCTTGAACTTCGGACAAGCTTTTGCCAGAACTTCCATTCTTTCCTCGAACAGTCTACGCCCTAAGGGAAAATGGAAATGGTGACTTCAGTTGCCTTCTTAGGATTGCCAGCTGAGAACGTCATTGTTGCACAGTCATAGTTGATCATGATAACAGAGCGATGCTTCCCGTGAAGTTTGAAGATATCAATCCACTCAGGCTCGACAAGTTGAACAAGGCCGAGACAATGTGTCCCGCAACGCATGTTGCTACCGTTTGCACGACAGAATCCTGGAGACAACAAAACTGTGGAACTGTCTGGGAAGTCAACAGGATCCTGGGTCCGCATTTCAGGCAATCTACGAGAGGTGAAGGAATTTATGTGCTGAAAGCTGAGATTGACCAGTCTGGGCAATCGCTTGTCATCGCAGCACAGTCAAGCAGCAGTCATTATACCGAGACGGCGATGCAGATATTCATCCACCATCTGAACGATAAAGCGATGTCGTATTGCAATATGCTTGAGGTTAGAAAATGCTCGACGGTCCTTGAACCGCTGCGTTGTCGACGAGAATGATGGTTGCATCGCGCTGTACAAACCCCAGCTCGAGCAGAAGAGATCGTAGCGTCCGTCAGTTGGAGCAACTGTACAACTCGGCTTCCGTACTCGATAAGCTGACGACTTTCTGTAATTTGCTGGAGAAGTTAACTGGACTGCCGTTGAAAGAGATCACGATTCCCCCTTGAGAACGACGAGTGATTGAATCTGTTCCCCAGGTGGAATCGCTGCTATCAGAGTGTTGTGATAATATTGCTGGTTGAAGAACGTGCCCGATTGGGAGAACGTCAAGCCTTGTTCACGAGTATTGTAAACGAATTGAGTCAAGTGAATGACTGCCTTGACGTCGCTAACCCGAGGCTGTTTGGCAAACCGACTCAGCAGGCTGACCGCGAAACATATACGTGGTCTTGTTGCGGCGCGGTGCCAGGAGGGGCGGTGTATGATCTCGTTCAGGCTCTGCCTCATCTCCCTCTTCTAGAAGATCACGTTCTCCCGCAACGCAGTGGCGATTCCCTTGACGACGAAGTGGCAGGGGTGGCAGGGGGACGGCGCCAGGAAGAGGACGAGCAGCACCAGCGCCACGCTCGCCGACCTCAGGCTCCCGCTGTCCCCTTCTCTGCCCGGTCGTGCCCGTCCCGCATAGCGTCGTATTCGCGCCGCGCGGGCAGCTCAGTGTGGTGGAGGTGAGGCTCGCGCGCTCAGTGCCCTCCCTGCCCTTCAACCCGACCAAACGCGCTGGTGACGGTGGAGGATGCGCGCTGGGACTGTGCGGGTCGGTGCTTCCTTGGATCTGGCATCCGATACGACGCGGTTGTCCGCGAGGTCATGTTTTCGGAAGCGGCTGAGGTCGGGGATCGGGAAGCCTAGCGCCTGCAGCAGCGACCGGGACTCGCAGGTCTTCTGGGCGAGTGGTCTAAGGGCCTTACGACGACCTGGGCCAGAGCTAGCCTTCTTCCACCTGCCGGAGAGCAGCTTCGAGATCCACAACATGAAAGGCAAGTTCCGCGCCTAGTCGAACTCTTGTCCCTGATAAAGTTGCCATGGAGAGAGGCCGTCCCGATTCGTCAGGTTTGGTAAACTCAGTTGAAAATCAGCGTTGCTTGTTGGACCGAGAAATGCCAGAAACGCTGCGGAACTTGCGCCTGGTACGAGATTGCTCGATGGATCGTGGTTACTGTTCTGATCGCCCTCTCTGCTCGCCCGTTGGCAGCACTTGTGTAGTCCGGCGTAAAATTCCAGATAATATTTGCAAACTCCGATCCATTGTCGCTGACTACTGTCATGACCTTGGGTAGATCAAACTCTGCATGACTTCCTTGGTTTCGCCTTTAGATGTCAGAGGAATAGTTATGATAAATCCACTGTACGACCAAGACGCGGCTACTTCTAAGATATCGATATCCGCCTTGGGCTTTGAGAAGTAGCTTCGCAAATTTGCTTGCACGACAGACATGACAAGGGCTCGCTGTAAGATGACACGGTTGAACTAAATGTGACCTTATTGTTACCAACATTCTTTGGATCCTGTTCGATGGATGTCCGAGCCTGAGATGCCAGACCACAGAAGGCACTGGGCAGTATGGAATAGATAACATGTCCTCGCTGCTCAATGATTTCAGTGTACAACGCCGCAGACATCTTAACGAAGATCTGCCCGGTCTCCAAAATTCGACAGCTCGCTCAGTTCTTGTTTGGCAACGACATGTCTCGGATCGACAGTTGAGCGACGCTGCTGCGAAGTCATGGAAAGTCATCTGAGCAACACTGATGACATTCGGAAGGGTTCACTGAATGTACAACTTAATCAGGGAAATTTTATATCCACATCGTATATCTGAATACTGAACTTCATGACAGGCTGAACCTCTGATAACATCTGATGAATGACATCAGCATCGAGCCTCGCATCATCCCTATGTCAAGTGACATGGACGAGTCACAGGGATCCCCCAAGCAGAGCCAGGAGTCGCACATGATGACGACGGGGCCACAAGACAGCTCTCCCACCATGATAAGTGCGGCAAAGAAGCTGTGGGGTGACAAGAGGAAAAAGTCGATGATGGAGGGATCAGTCCTGTTCAAAGCTCTGAATGTCAAAATTGACAAGAGCTGTTTTCAGGAGAGGAACTACCTCAGAATTCCGCTGGTCGAGCGCCGCGATGTTGATACAAGCCGCACGGCAGATGCAAGGGAGGTTGTGAAGACCGAGGAAGGAAGACGTCCCTGAACCTCAGAGTACAAGCCATGGCATATTACGATGGCAACCTGATGACATGAATCGCGTGCAGACGTCGGCTGTGTATTCACTGTTGTACGAGCCGGATGGGCACTCCACGCATACCGCGGGCGCGGCGGTGTAGTACCCTGGCACGCAGAGACAGTCGCTCTGGTTGGTCGAGCCCGGGGCGCTCCAGGAGTTGGCCGGGCACCTCGTGCACTGCGCGTCCCCCGTGCTCGCGCGCGGTAGCGCCCCGGGCCGCACATGCAGTTGAGGATAGTGGTGCTCCCCTCTGGGCCCTTGTTTCCTTCGTTGGGGAAGCGAGTGCAGGGCTCGATACCGGCCGATGCAGAGATGAAGAAGCAGCCGATGAAGTCATACCTTCGATCGAAGTTATGAAATGATGCTGCCAGGAGTGAAGGAGGTTCCAGATGGGAAGAAGTCAGGAGGCTGATTGCATACTATGATGGAAGGAGGAATATCCAGCATGAGCAAGAATAATGCAGCTTCGGGCAAGACGACCAGAGACCCAGCATGACTTCACCTTGATGCCAAGCAGCAAGCTTCCGAGGCTACTCTATGCAAGGGAGAGAAGACTGGGGGACGACGCGCGAAGAGCCAACGGTGGCAAGTCAGTTGAAAGGTCTAGTCAAATTTGACAAGGACTTCGACGGGTTGGAGGTGCAAAGAGGCAACTGATCAGAGCAAGCCTCAGCTCAGGTCATGTCAATTAGTCGATGTGGCTCTGTGCACAAGCTCACGGAAAGGACAGCAACAGGTACAATAGGGACGACGTAGCAGGATCACGAAGAAGACAGCAAGAACCTAGGACCCATGGATGGCAGCAGGTGATAAGCGAGTCAGCTCATATCAGTCTGCGACAGGACAGCAAGTGACAGGAATTATGGCTAGTGGGAAGTTGGAAGTATCACCCCTGCCAGTCATGGACATTGAAGGACAAGGGGTTCGATCAGAGAAGACTGAAGGCACGAGACCACCTCTCAGTAGGTTGCAGGGACACACAGCTTCTGTCAAGGCCAAGGGAGCAACTGTGTCAACTCGACAGGAAGCGTTGGATGAGAATCGAAGACCTCGTCATGTCAAGCCTATGACTCTCTCTCAGGAAGCCTTCAGGGTATGGGGCTAGGACTCGGACCGGTCGAAGGATCATACCGCGGATACGAAGCGTAGAGTACCGGTAGTGGTAGTTCCTAGGACAAAGGAGAATGAGGTGAAGGGTCTCTGTGAGACTGGATTGCTTGAAGTAAATAAGCTTGAACATCTGTACCAATCTCCCATCACCTCTGTTACTTCTCTGAATCCTGATATTATTCCTGCGCGGCCATCGGTGATCGCAAGTATCACCACTATAGATAGTGCCACGTCAAAGTTCGAGATCACTTGCGCGGGAAGCGGATACTACTTCAACGGAGTTTTCTTGTTGTCTGGAAACGCAGGGGTAAGACGCATTGAGGTGACGGTACAGGGAAACAACTGCCCCTTAGGAACTACTGTCAATATCGAGTCTCCGAACCCAGCTGGAGCCTACATTGATGGTTTGACAGGGTCGACCTATGCGGGCCAGCAAGCCTCTGCGATTGTCTACCTGAATGGAAACAGTGTGTCTCAAGTGGTACTCCAGAACGGAGGTAGTGGATACATATCAACTCCTTTGGTTACTTTTCCGGCTACGTGCAATGCTCAGGCGAGGGCGCACATCTCCCAGAACTTCTCGTCGAGCATTGCGATGAGATACGAAACAGGCAACACCTTCTTGTACGACTGGAGCAGAGACCAGACCGACACCTTGACGGGCCTTTACTCGTCTGAGTTCTCGTCTGTCTGCTTGTTCTCTCTCGAGACGGCGGCGAGCGGGTCAGCAGAGATAAACTCTGGGTATGTGGCATCGATTGCCATTACCCACGCTGGTACAGCCTGCATGACCCCTACAATTACTGTGTCCGCACTGTCTGGGGTGTCAGTAGCTGCACAAGCGAAGGTCAACGTGACGTACGGCGGGTATGGATACACGTCAGCACCATCACAGGTTGCGGAGGCGCGACTGCGCAGGCCTTCTTGAGCTACTCCAACGTCGATGTGCTTGTCGGAGGATCAGCCTCGTTCTCCAGGTAGACTCTCGCAGAGAGGACGAGGTACTACTTCGCTACCTCGCTGCCGGTCAAGAGCTCGTATGTGAAGGGATATGGAGTGTCGGGGATGGTAATCATCGGCGGTACGCTCGCGGGAGACTGCTACAGCTTTCCTTACGTGGTATCAGCTCTGCAAACTTCATGGAAAAGCTACAACTGTATCCCATCAGTTCAGCGCTGTGCCCGACGTCGAGTTGCTATCCCATACCTTTACAGAGCATTGTTATAAACTATGAGCACGTATTGCAATTCAGTCTTTCATCAAGCCTCCTGACTGGGATGAGTCATGTTGAGTTTTCAATATACGACTCCAACGGCCTGTGGCTGCAGAAAGTAACCGCGGAAGTGCCTCATGACTCTCTTTCCATGAAGTTGTTGAGCGCTGAGTTCTGTCAGGTTTGCAATGCTAATTCAGTCTGTGCCAGTAACGGCGTTTGTGACGATGGAGCTGTCAGTCTGCAGTTCTCCGAGTATCAGGGGATGAGGACGTTGGTTGCTCCAGCCATCGCAACGAGCACCGTCACGTTCACTGTAATGTACCACGAGGCGATGCAAAGCAATTACGAGCTGTCGTTCGATGTCAAAGTTGGGCAGTTCTACCTGAATGTTATCTTCTGGAAACAGATCAGTGTGAGCGAATGGAAATTAGCAGCAAGAATACCCCAGTCATTGATTCCAGGGTTTCACCCCTGTGCCATTCACTTCCTTTGGGTTGATCCTGTTTACGCAAGAAGTGACGTGTATCAGTGTTTGCAATGGAGAGAGCCAGGTCACATTTAGCGTCCAGAACCTTCCGAGTGCAAGTTCATTGTCATACAACTATGAGCTTGACCGGGTTCGCAAGCAAGAAAGTCTTCATTTACACGTATAGTCGAGGTCCAAGATCTCCAAGGCGATCTGTTCGTCTACAGGATCGAGCATGCAGCTAACTTTCGATCAAGATGCCACTGAATACGTTCCCTCGACTTGGTTTTCTTGCAGCAAATCTCTATCGTTCACTCCTGCTGCTGCCTCTACCTGTCTTCTCACTGGCAATCAGAGCGTGTTTGTTAACTTCAGTAATGCGCAGCCCTCGCTCCCCGGAGATGGTGTCCAGGTGCTGTCGTCTGCATCCTTGACAGCACCCAACGTCGTCAGCAAGGTAGAGTTCTCCTCAAGGCCAATAGGTGGGAACTACCTGCCTGTCATCCTCGGTCCCTCAACGAATGATTTCTGCACATCGCTCCGCCTGCTAGCGTCTGTTGAAAGTAGGAGGATCTCGAGATTCTTCTGGTCCTGCTCCAACAACCAGCAGCTGGACCAGCTCCTGCGCCAGAATCAGACGGACACGATAGACTTGAGCTTGGACGAGTTGACATTCATAGGGTATCAGCGCCAATACAACATCTCAGTTCAGGTAGTCGATGTCTTTGGTGTTGCAAGTGAAGTCGCACAACATGTTGTCTGGCAAACTCTCTCCTCTTCGATCTCTGCGGTGATTTCGGGACAAGCTGTCTACATGATGCATGAGGAAATACATCTGCGCGCAAAACTGTCTCCTTCCTCATGCTTGCAGCAATTTGACGATGTGATCAACACAACTCCAGCTGACATCTTTAATGTCACCAACCGTGTCGACTTGCAAATTCCTGCGTTTGCATTGCAAGTTGGATCTTACCAGGTGGAAATGACTGCATTCTTGTCCAACCGTCCATACTTGACGGGAGCTTCATCCTTCAGATTCGAAGTCAGGCAGAGCAATGCCTACATGTATGTGTTGGGAGGCTCTCCAGTTGAGGCCTCTGTAGATCAATGGTTCAGATTGAACATGATGCAGATTAATCCTCAGCAAGCTCCTAGCACGGCGACAACTTTCTCGTGGGTCTGAGTACAGCATGTTGCTGGCAATGCCCTTCCCTGCATCGACCAGAACACGTCGGCGTGATGTTTTCAAGCTCACAGACTTTGTATCTGGGCATCAACAACATTCTGCTTGATCATGAGAAGATACAGGAAGGGATGATCATAGTCAACGCTATCGACAGGCTATCCTTCCAGGCGCTGCTGTCAAACTCGACAGGCGTCAGTTATGAATGGAGCATACCGATGAGCCAGTACACCCTCAGCAACCTTCCAGTAGGATCAAGTTCAAACCTCTTTGCGTTTATCCCCTCGGGAGGCATGTCTTTGAGAGAAGTGGCAGTCTACTCCATATATCATTGACAGCTGTTCGCGGTGCAGTCCGTGGATCTGCGCAGATGGAGACTACATTGATGGACGTTGACGTGCCGCCGTTGCCCGGTTCCTGCTCGTACTGCCTCAACACCACCTCCTCCAACATCAACCCGCTAGTGGACGTGCTTACTGTTTCTTGCGGCAACTGGACTGATGAAGACCCTCCCTTGCGTTACAACTGATTTTTGGCACGAGCCGACATTGATTTCATACATGACCTATGTGCTTGCCTCTGGATCGCAAACCATCCTGACCTTTCAGCCCAATTCGGCTCTAAGTCACTTCCAGCTATTGTACACAAATGTACTTCTGGTTTCACAGACCGATCTTTGCACAGGAGACAGTAACTTGAAGCATCCAGGCTGATCAGCAAGGCATGGCCTCGCCGCTTGAAGTGACGTGGAGCCAGCATTCGTTTCCTGTGCCACAAGTCTCGTATTCTTCAACACACAGAAGTTGGATACAGGGCTTCTGCTGAGTCACCCTGTGTTGAGTCCCACCCCCTTGTTTCTTTACTCAAAGTTTTAAGTTAACCTTGCTGGTACGGGACGTTCCACCCCCCGCAGCAGGCTTCTCATGTAGGAGTCGCTCCCTACACGGGTGGGGTGGGGGTGGTCCAGTGCCGCCTCCTGCCGCCTATGCGCTTTAAGTGAACGACATATGTAAGGTTGCTGGAAGGTATTGCCATCGCTGCTCCTCGATCCTCCTGCCTTCCTGAAGACTATCAGATGAACCCTGCCTCTTTACCAGCTCGATTCAAACCTCCTCATGTCTTCCTGCCTTGTCTTCCTCTCCCTTCTCTTAAAGTGCTCTGTGCATGTTTCTGTACTGATTCTTCATCAGCCATGCGGGCTCTTTTATCCAAGGAGAATCGCGATAATTCATCAAAGTCAAGTGGACCTTCAAATCTTCGACCTTGTCTCTTCTCCAATCAGATTGTTCAGAAAATTCCTCCCCAACAAGAAGCTACAGAGTCCGGTGCAAGAAGCACAACGTCAAGGTTAAGCGATAATGCGATGGCAGAATGCGCTGACATGAAGCGCAACCTGACTCTTGGAGAGAAGATGGAAATCATCAAGTGCTATACTTCAACAAACCCTGAAGTTACTATGACCCATAGCCAGCTCGCAAAGATGTTTGGGATGAGCAGATCTGCTATTTCTAAAATTCTCAAGGCCGAGAACGTTTGCAGATTGAGACACATTACGAATTGTGGTCTTCATGCGAGCATCAAGCGCTATGCTCCCAACGATTCACATCTAGAACTGGAGAAGCGAATCCATGAATGCATCGTAGGGGCTGGGCTTGGATTTGGCGGCAGGTTGGAGATTCGCCAATACGCTATGGAAGTAGCAAGAGAGATGGGGTTGTCAGACTTCAAAGCGTCTCATGGCTGGTGCTCTCGGTTTATCAAGCGTCATGGTCTTACAAAGACGAAAATCTTGGGTCGAGACGTGTATGTGGAAACAAACAAAACTTCGCTTACGACTGTATCATCTGCATCATCGCTGACGCAGAAGTCAGAGGCGCAGACTTCCAGCTCCTTGAGACATCGTGAGATGAACTTCAAGGTATCTCTTGTAAGGGGAGGGCAAGAAGATGTCTTCAGACAGCTGAAGTGGAGCTTTGACTTCGATCATCTTGACAATCCTGTAGGTGGTTACAGGATGGTGATGGAAGGACTTCAAAGTGCTTTCAGTGAAGATCTCAAGGGCATTCGAACGAGCTGCTTGCAGCTAAGCTACATAGATGACGATGGCGACAAGATCCTGATCAACTCCGATCAAGAGCTTGGTATCCTCCTCCAGGACAAGCCACAAGCTGCAAGGATCCGCCTTTATCTCCATGCAGTGTCAGGGTCAAACCGACCGCCGATGGGACCGGCCAGTGGAAGTCTACAGCAGATTAATGGAATTCAACCTCTTCCTCTGGACATGCTTGTACAGGCCTTGAAGTCTTACGAGAACAATCTTCTTATTTCAACCCTACCTGTTGTATGAAACATGTTGGTCTGAAGAAAGAGTCAAATTGCGCAAACAAGGCTCCTCGCTCAATTTTGCATTGGGGAATACTAGTAAATAAAACATGGTAACCATTCGAACTCCTCAATCGCTCTTGATTGCAAAATTGTTGTAAATGTTCACATAATGTTATTACTTCATTTGGTTGCTGTCAAAGCAACATCTAAGACATACTTCAAGTTTTGTGCATAGTGAAGAGAGTATACTTGACCTCTGACTTGCCACTTGTATTCGACCCAACGACCTATGACAATACATCCTGTCCTGATGCTGAGATCTTGTCGGGGGGGTCGTCATTTGTAAAACTCCATTCAAACCATGTTTCAACAACGGAAGGTCGATCTCCCCTTACGGTAGGTACAGGTTGTTTCCACATGTGTGCTGATCAATGGTGACCAAAAGATTTCCTTGCATGTCTGCATCGGATGCATCGGATTGCTGCTGATCCAAAAAGCTTGATTGTACACAGTGAGTTATAACAACCATCATCCAAGATTGCGCTTCCATCATCAATCACAAACCAGGAAGCATGGAGAATTTCAAAATTGTGTACAAGTGACATCAATAGTTGGCAGCAGGATTCTGAAAGTAATTGAATTAAGAGCAATTGTGCTGCAAACAATCAAGAGATGATCGAATTCTTGAAGCAGAGGAAAAAAGAAGGAAAAACTTGAAACGAAGGAAGATTCCCAGGGAGCACTCTCAGAGCAGGTGAGAGGTACAAGTGAACACATCACAAGAGGATGAAATAAGAGAGTCTTCCTCCCCCACATCGCCGCAACCCTCGTCTGCATGCTCGTAGCCCCTACCATCATCCCCACCCCAATGCATCCCATCGAAGCTTCGAATGCCTCAAGTGAGACGTTTCCCGTGAGTCTTGTGGAGTACAACCCATTAGAAGCAGCCTGCTGGCATGCGAGGACCGGTTTCTCTTCCCTGCGAGAGAGTGAGCAAGGTTTCCTCTCGAAGAGCTGACGGGATGTTCAACATCTAAGGAGGAAAGCTTGTCAACTTCCAAGGAGAGATCACCCCTACTTTCCTCAGCCAAGAGACGGGTACGCCTGTCTCCTTCCTCGAAGGTATAAAAGGATCATCCTCGTCAGAACCAGGTGGTCTTCTTTTTTTCGTGTGTGAGCAAGATCTGCCGTGAGGTTCTGGGAGGATATTTCATAGATGTCAGCATCAGGCGAACTTAGTCTCGTCGGGAACCAGAGCAACACTTAGAAGACAAATAGATGCATTGTAGGGCATTCAAAAACAAATACATTGCAGAAAGATGCAATGAAGATACTTCTTAACACTCATCCTCTCCTACTGCCTCCATTTCCCTTCCCCTCTCCCTCTCCCCATATCCTCCACTTATCATTCGTTTCCGATTTCTGTATTGACTGAAAAAGAAAGGCAAACCGGAGCGAGTATACTGCATAAATCCGACAAACCCGCCTCAATAAAATACTAGGAAACGAATGAGGCAGCGAAAACCGCTACACCAACCACGCAAGCGACGGCATGCATGACAAGCGGGGAAACAAGGATCAGGACAACGTATAACATGAAGAAGACCAGCCGTACCTGCAGTGAAGGGAAGAAAGGCCTTTCTTCCCTCGAGTCGTCCGAAGGAGGGGCTCCAGGGGGAACGGGCGGCTCGTCCGCTTGACGGAGGGTACCATCCAGCCGAGAGAACAGAGGAGGGGTCGAGAATGTCCAGGTCTGCACACAGGGTAGTAGCGCTCCATAGTTAGAAGCTGGCCGAGGCGATGTAATAAGCTGATAGACTAACTCCTGCTTGAGGTGTGAAACCATCCCCGCCCTCCCCAGCGGAGACAAGAAAGAAGAGCTGGCCTGGCCGAAGTCAACGTCCGAGCCTCCGTCCGACACGGGCCCATCAAAAGCCTTGCCCAGCTCCAGAAGAACACTCTGGTCGAAAGCAGCGCATGCATCAGTCACCATTTCAGTATCGATGCCCCGTAAGAACTACTGCAAAGTTGGGAGGTGAGTAGCACGGATAAGGTGTTTACATGCGAAGGGGTGTAAGGTACTCAGCGATCCCAGCTTGTGGAGGTCATCGTCAAGAGCCGCAGCTTTTCCTGAAGCCAGTGTCTGATGAAGCCCCTAGAGCCCAAAGGTATGCCTCCTAGCACCACCCCCTCCATCTCGACCGAGAAGCTCCGCAAGTGCGCGAATTCTCGCTTGATGAAGGCAATGCTGTTCGGCCCGCAGGGTGTCGATACGTTTGCATTGTTGGTTGGCAACAAAGTCCCTTCACGAGGGTCCAATCTCTTTCAAGCACCCAAACAGATCTATAAAAATTCAAATTCTGAAAGAGCATTGCTGAGACCTTTGAAACTTCAAACTCGGCACGGGAGTACACAAGGATGGTGTACTCAGAAGGCTGAAGAGATCGGAGTAGAGGAGTAGGAAGAGGAGACAGGGGAAGAGGAGGAGGAAGAGTTTTATTCCCTTTTATTCCCCCCTGAGATGCCCAGAAGCTGTCTTGGGCTGTCCTTGATGTGCTTGCCCAGCAGACTCTGAGCTCTGCAAGCAGTATCCTGTCAAAATCTGAGCTCACTGAAACTCCCTGGAGCTGCAAATGATGGACATTGCTTTCGGCTTGTTCCCGCCGCATGACGTCACCATCACGTGCCATGGGACTTGGTCAAGTATCACATACGACGATACTAGAACCCTGTGGCGGCTTCCTTTGAGCCATTGTCTCATGCGCACAGACACGCAAAGAACGTGAGAGGTGGACGATCTTCTCGCATCGGATGAGCTCGAGGGAGAGGAAACAGGGAGGGTAAGAAACCTGGCTCAAGCTCCTCTCACATGATACAAGTCTCCAGCTAAAGCTGCTCAGCTAGGCTGCACCTTCCCAGCTCACCTCAAGGATCATCCCATTGGGTGGCTTGACAAGAGTCAGCGCAGCAAAACTCGAGGACACGCAGCCGGCAGTCAGAGGCTTGCAGGGTGAGCTTATAGAGGTCGTAGGTGACCGACCGGATCCCTCGCTGACTCTGAGGACTCGAAGTCTCCTTCTAGCCATTGTCATGAAGCTCTCAAGGAAAAGTCGGGGGTCAGTCACGTGACTGAGAGGGAAATGGGGGCTGTGGGTGGGCAGGTAAGGACTGTCGAGAAGGATAGGGGTTATGCAAGTACGGTCATGTGACTCGAGAGCGTCAGAGCAGGGGCTGATGTAGAGCAGGAACTTGCAAGATAACCAGACGCGAGAGAGGAAGGGGACGAGGGAGAGAGAGGAAGGCAGAGGTGTGGGAGAGGAGCAGATATCAAGACGAGCTTGACGAGTGTGGGACAACCTCGCACTTGCTGGATTACTTGTACATTCATGCCTTAATTCGTTATCTGTTCATGCATCTCTATCATTTCGATCTGTCAGGTGTTCCCCACACGGAACACACCTGACGGCTGAGGACCTGCAAGCTTGTGGTTGTGAAGGGTGGTGCCAGCAAGCAGGAGAACAACCGGGTCTCAAGCCTCTCAAGGACCCACCTCAGGACCTCTAAGACTGCCACGTTGTCTCCTTGGGTTGCAACATCACTCGGACCCTACCTGGTCTGTTGCAGAGGAAGGTACGGGTCTACTTCCTTCTTGTTGCCGAGGAGGCATGCAGAGCAAGACATCTTACATCGGAGAATCGTGTAAGAAGGATCGAAGGGGTGAGACTGAAGGGTCTCTGCCTCCACGCTTGCGTGTGCCCTCCTCTCTCCGCTGCTTCCTAGCATGACCTGAGAATAAACTCCTTTGAGTGCAGACCTGTCTCGTTGATGTTCGAGGTTTAGTGAGCATTCGCTCTGTGGCTGCTCAGACGTTGACCTGGGGTGTAGCACGACCTCAGCTGTTTGTATCATCTCTCGGACAACCTCTGCCGAGCTCCCTCCTTCGCCAAAGGTCCTGGCTTGGCTGGGATCTTGAAAGGTCGAACGAGCGTAATATTCACATGCACCGCTCTAAGAGTCTATCATCAATGTTGAAGTCGTATCTGCCATTCAAGAGTCTCTCCCCCTTTTTCATTCTTGTTGAGCTTCTCCTCTAGATTGGCATACACTGAGGCGTACCCTCTCCTAGGAGAGTCAGCGTCTTGGCTTCCTCCATCGGTTTCAGAACCACTCTCTGGTTGCTTCGTTCTAGCCAGTCATCGATTGTTCTGGCTTCTGCTCAGGGGCTGGACCTGCCCACTTGGCAAGCAAGGGGCTCGCTTCCCTGCCTCTTGTTCTCACTGAGTCAGTTTCAGCGCCGCACTTCTTCCAGCCCCTTGCTTGCCAAGTGGGCAGGTCAGGTGAATGTCAGCGAGAGCCATGCGGTGTGTAGACTTAGATAGCTGTAAACTTGAGCTAAGTACCTTGATACGATATGTAAGGGCAAGTCAAGTCTACCCCACCCACTAGTAGATGAGCTCCTGCATCTACTAGTGGATAAAACCACGAGTAGTCAGATCTGATTTCTTCTAGATTGCTTTACCTTACTTTGCATTCTCCTTGCTTCTTTCACATAGTACTTGTCGCTACAGTCTTGCAAAAGCTCAGCAAGTTCGCTTTTATTTCTTATCATTCGATAAAGAGGATGGCTCGTGTAGAGCTCTATAAGGCAGACAGCAGCTACTACTGCCTGCCGGATCATCAAGTAGCCGCGCTCACGACATGCCGTAAGCCATGGGCTGCTGGCCGTACGTTGCAACATTAACCGGCATGGGAGCAGCGGCTGAGTAGGGCTGAGGCAGGTAGACAGGCCCCATCTCCTCTTGTACCTTCTTGCCTGCGAGCTTCGGCGCGAGGAGCTTGTAGGCGAGCAGGCCGAGCAGAGCTGCTCCTACCACGCCCCCGATGACGCCTCCGATGATGGCTCCGATGTTCTGACCTCCTGCTGGAGTCGTCGACGAGCTCGCGCTCGCTGGTGTGGACGCTGCTGACGAGGCCCCAACGAGCACGGCAAGCTTGCGCGGGTCTGTCTTCCATGCAAACATCCTGCTGCTGGCAGATAGCAGAGCAGTCTTCTGACCGTTGGAGTAGGAGCCCGCAATGGTGTCGTTGAGGTACATGTCGGCTGTAGTAGCTGACGACGTCGACACGATGAGCAGGGCCGGGCTGCTCCAGGTAGAGTCCAGCACGGACGGTCGGCTGGTGATGGAGTAGGAGTACGCGCCGCCATCTGACACCGACAGGCTCTGCTGGGGTACAGCCTGATCGCCCAATATCTGACCGAAGGAGTCCAGCACGAACACGGGCGAGCCTGGCTCGTGAGGGATCGGAGAGCTGGCGTTGATGGCGTTGGAGCCGTTGGTAGGAGACAGCAGTGAGCTGTCTGAGCTCGGGTCATACCCGTCCATCCTGTCCTGGAAGTAGAGAGGGTCTGCTGGGAACCTCCAAGGCTGGTACGTCACGGGGTAGTTGAGGTTGGCTCTGATCAACCTCTGTGTGAACTTGTCCGTCAGGTCGACCCCGAGGTAAGTCTGCTGGACCAGAGGGCGGTAGGAGTAAGTCGCTCCTCCGACCGCCTCTCCTTGCGCATTGTTGTCAATGAACCTGTTGAGACTCAGCTGGAAGGATGGCCGACTTGTCACCCCGGCTCCTCCCGACAGCACGTGGACGCCAGACACTGCGATCACTCCAGCCGCGTTCATGCTGTACACAGGCAGAGCTGTGAAGCCCGACGAGCCCAGCAGACTTGACCTGACGTTGAGCTGCCAGGAGAAGAAGGCGTTGGGGATGTTGTAGGGCGTGTTGGTCACGTGAGCAGCCGCCGACGTTCCTCTCAGTCTGCGATCATCCGCGGGGACGGTGCCTGAGGCGGGCTGCCGGATCATGATGATCTCCTCGTCGAGCTGTGCCCAGACGTCTTGGTAGCTGCTAGGGGCCTGCAGGATCGAACTGGGAAGGGCGATGGAGCCCAGCTGGGAGATGTACCTCAGTTGGTCGCTGCGTCGGGTCATAAGAGTCACAGAAGACGTTTGCGATGATGTCGTTGGGGTAGGAGAAGTCCATGTGACTGATGCTGCGAGCTTGTGAGGGGCAGGATCAGTGCCTGCTTGAGCTCGAGAGACTTGGAGGAGGTTGCCGTTGATGTTGTCTATCCTCATAATCTCGTTGTCGATTACGAAGCTGTCGCCGGCTCGGAACCCGGAGGCGTCGAAGAGGATGATGCGCGTAACCGTCGAGTCAATGTCTAGAGCAAGCTTTGACCTGGCGTAGCTCTTCTTGGAGACTGGTAGCAGCTGAAAGGTGTCGTACACGTCATACAAGTAAGAATCACCTTCACCTAAGTTTGGGCTATATCCTCCTGACGTGAACTTGAGGCGGACTTCGTTCTCAGAGGATGAGATGACTTGTGCCGTCCCGCCTTCTTGATTGCCGTTATACCACGAGAACAAGACGCTGTCACCGGGAGATAGTGCGGTACCGTTGATGACGTCAAACCTCTCGTACTTGTACAGGGCTGATGTGTCTTTTTTGAATTGAAATTGAATCCAAGAAGAAGTGAATAGAGTCACATCAAGATAGTAATTTCCGACGACCTGCACTTGAAACACTCCATATGTCTTAGTTTCCACATCAATGATATACACGAAGTCTCCAGGGGAATAGAAGTCCGAGACTTGAGTGGACAAGTATATGGTATAGGTAGCCCATAGATCAGTCATTTCATAAGTCGAGTTGAGGCGCCTCAGACCTTCAGTTTTCACAAGGTAATCTTTATAACCTGAACCGCAAGATGGACTTTGATGATCAGGTACATCAGGTATTACAAGTTCTACGGTGATGATACCTGCATTGATTCCTGTAATTTTGAAAATTGTGCCCCAACCATTCACGATGTCTCCAACTACAAAGTCTGAAGTCCTTGTCATGGTCAGCTCTAAACCACTAGCACCAGTGCAATACGGAGGGTTGAGGTAAGCTGGCTGAGCAATGGTCTGCACAAGCGCTCCAGCTGAGACGCTGCGTGCCTGTGGATTCCCAAGCCACTTAGGGATCAATTCTCGACGCACACTGCCGTCAGACTGATACTCCATCACATCTATGTACTCCATTCCGGCTTGGCTATCATAGTTGATGGCCCACAAGAGATCTCCAGCTTGAAGTCCGTAAGTGTTGGAGAAGTTCGCGTTCGTTGCGGTCGAACTGATATCGTGCTCGAGGACGCGAGGGTTGAATAGAAGATTCACAGATACTCCTGTATAAAATGTGGATTGACCCTTGTTCGACTGGAATTGAGCTCTTTCAACCGTCAGGTTCTGATAGAGATGCTGCGATACGTTAGCCGTCTCAGTGCTCAACACCAACATCGCCTCAAAATTGGAAAGATAGTAATCATATATCAGCAGATAGTCGCCTGGTTGAAAGCCTGACGACTGTGTATCCTTCACTGGGTCCATGACACGTAGAACAGTGTCTTGAGATGTGAGATCTTCCAACAATATCATATTCGATCTGTAGATGGAAGGGATTTCACTCGAGTCAAAAGGGGTGGTGCTTGCTGATCTCATTGTTAGCTTCACCAGCACTCCCGTCGGGTACGATGACGCAGATGTTCCTACCTGCGCTCGCTTGACGGTAAGTGTATTGCCGGATATCGAAGTGACTGTCATGGTCTCGCCCAGCACCTGGATGAAGGCCCCCAGGTAGAGGAGGCTCGCGTCTGACACAGAGAAGGTGGTTTGACTGGCTGTCACGGCTTCCAATAGAACAATGGGATACTGTTGCAAAAGAAGGACGTAGCCCACCGCCTTGTACGCCACGTGACTACTTGCGATCGTCCCTCCTTGTGCTCGTAGGACAGTCAGCGACGAGGCTCCTACGGCAGTGACGTACATGACCTCCTTCTCTACCTGGATGTATCTGCCCGACGTGAACTTGCCGGCGTTCGACACGTCAATGCTGGTCGCGTCCCTTGCGACGCTCTTGAGCAGCACGGAGCCCGGGTTGAAGGTCCTGACAACGGTGCCTGCGGCGAAGGTCGAGGCTATGCTGGAGTTCAGCGCGCCTCGAGTGACCGTGAGAGTGCTCTGCTGGACGCTGATCGCGTCCACGAGCAGGACTTCATCTACGAGTCGGATATAGTCGCCCACCTTGAAGCCCGACACTGATTGCACCTCCAGCACAGCCGACCTGGAGCTCTGCAGGAGCCGACGAGCCGCCTGGTCTCTGAGAGCCACAAGAGTCGTGACAGGGAAGTTGCTGAACGAGCCGTAGACTGCGTTGATGAAGCCGGGTCTGAACAGATAGTCCACTCCGGTAACCTGGCCCGCCAGGTTGCGGACAGAGCTCTGATCGAAGGACAAGTCGCCCGGCCAGTAGAGAGGGCCCGGCTGAAGGGCGTCTGAGCTGGGGCTGTCGGTGAAATAGAGTAGAATCTCCGCGCACGGATACGCTTGTCCGGCATCCGAAGGAAACTCGAGCCTCAGCGGGTTAGGCGTGCTGGGAGAGAAGCCGAAGCCCGCGTTGAGCAGGACTGGCTGCTGGGTCCGAGCATCCCACCCGATGGCTGCCAGCGCCTCATCAGCGACCACGCTCGACAGCGAGGCATCAAGCACTGTCGACAGGTAGGAGGGACAGTTGTCGGCCGCGCAGGTGCGGGCGGAGCAAGGGAACGTAGCACATGCGCTGCACTGCGAGGAGCCTGAGCAGGAAGGCAGCGGGTTGAGCTCTGCTTGCGAGTAGGCGCTGGTGCAGAGTTTGGAGCCCGGGCAGAGAGACTTGACAACAAACGACCCGCTGCTGCAAGTCGGCTGGACGTTTGCGGCCCCCTGGTTGAGCTCTGGCAGCGAGACGTTCCTCACGAGCTCGACCCGAGACGCGACCATCCCACTTCTCGGGTAAGCGCCGAGAGTGGGAGCTGGGCATGCCGGCAGCGACCCAGACGAGGAAACGAGCTTGATGCTCGGAGCGGTCAAGTAGCCGGATCCTGCGTTGATGACTTTGAGCACGTACTGGTAGGGAGCAGCGTCGGCAGCGAAGCCCTTGCTGGCTGCTGTCGAGCTCGCAGACGGGCCGTTGGTGTAGGGGTCCGCGCTGGTGTCGATGTAGTCGAGCAAGACCTCTGCCTGCACTCCGCCTGAGGGGGGAGGCTCCACGAGGACGCGCGGGGGCTGACAGAGCGAGGCGGACGCGAACGTCTCGTTGCCTGTGATCTTGAAGATCAAGGAGCCTCGCGGGCCTTGGAAGCCCTGGCTGCGTCTTGCCGTGTAGACGTTGCTGGAGGAGTACGCCGACGGCCCGCTCGACACGCGCATCTGCAGCGTCTTGCGCGTCCTGTAGTCTCCTGCTGCTCCGTCCGCCGGCGAGCAGACTTGCAGCCCGTCGCGGTTGCTGGGCGAGAAGAAGGCGCTGCTCGCTACCGACTGCTCGCACGAGCCCGAGCACTCTCCGCTCACCGTTGCCTCCACCTGAAGCTCTGAGGCAGTGCACACCTGGTTGGCGATGGAGTTGGCGTTCTTGTCAGCACAGGCGCTGCTGGAGCATCCGCTGCAGCTGAAGGTCGCGATGGGTCTGGAGCCCGAGCTCTGGTATCCGTATCCCTCGTGGGTGATGAGAGCTCCGTCGAGAGTCAGGCCTGTCTGCTGTGCCACAGTGCCTGAGGCTATGACGAAGCCCGAGTAGACGTTGGTGCCCTGGTACGCCGTGTTGAGCGAGAAGAAGGAAGGCTTGCAGAGCGTCTGCTGGCTGCTGCTGAGGTCCGCAAAGTCTTGTCGGTAGCTCTTGACCGCCCCTCTGACGCTAAACTCCATGTCGACAACGATGGGGATGTTGGCGTACCCTTGACCCTGCTGTACGATCTCGTAGCTCGGAAGGCTCGCGCCCGCAGCTTGGGAGACTTTGATCTTGAGCACCTGCCCTCCTGGCCGCTGCGGAGAGCTGAACACCAGCACCGACCCATCGCAGCTGAAGAGATTAGTCACGGTCGTAGGCCCGTTGTAGTGCACTACCCCATCCTCACCGCTTACAAGCCTCGACCCCGAGACAGGAAAGGACCAGGTGGGGACCGCCACGGCGTTGGCATGAGCGTCGACCAGACCTTTGGCGTTGATAGCTGACGGGCTTATCTTCACGCTTGTGAACCCGAACGCAAACCCCGACACCCCCTGCTGGGGGACCGTCACTGCTGTGACTCGAGAGCTGTTCCACGAGCCGCCTGCCCTCAGCATCGTCTGCGTGACTGCAGTGCTGCAAGCCTTGTTGAAGCCGACCACCACCGGCGAGTCCATGGTAGAGTGGAAGGCGGGAGCCTTCGACGATGACGTCAGCAGCGCCGACTGCATGCCAGTGTACGAAGAGGCTCTCGAGCCGGCCATGTGAACGTCTGAGGTCGCGAAGCCTAGGATCGCCCGGGCGCTGCCGTCTGTGCACGGCAGGGTCACAGCTGGCGGATACTCGTACCCGGACCCTCCGTCGATGACCTCGATCGAGGTGACGCCGCCGTTGGCAGCTGTTTGAGCCCTCGCGGTCCTGCCCGAGGGCGGAGGCTCGATGGTGATGGGTCCTGTGCAAGACGACGACGGTAGAGACGTCACGACTATCGCAGCCACGTATCCTGTTCCGACCTCAGCGTTGGACTTCCTCGCATCATATCGCTTGTAGAGAGCGACCGCGGGGAAGACGGTCGAGTGCAGGCCAGTAAGGGAGTCGAAGTGATCTCGCTGGGGGTGGTACATCATCAGGTTGGAGTCTGCTGTCACCCGCAGACGAGAGGTGAAGTTGTGAGACAAGTGCGCTATGGCAAAGGCGTCACAAGGCGTGTTTGAGTTGAGGTTCGTAAGCGTCACGGTAGGCGGGAAGAAGTACCCTCTGCCCGCGCTGGTGAGGGAGATGCTGGTGATGGACCCTCTGCTGACAGTCGCGATTGCCATAGCCTGAGAGCATAGAGAGCTGTCGGACGAACAGACCGGGGTGTTGGTCAGCCCATCAGTCACCCCGTCCTTGTCGGGACTGGAGATGGTGACCTGGACGTTGGCGCTGCAGCTTGTTCCTGGAGTCACGATCTCGATCCGCTCGATGCCTGACCTCTGCCCCTCGAGCATGAACACGCCCGACAAGCTCCTGCCAGAGGTGCAGGTGCCGTAGAACCTCCCGGGTCGGAGATAGCCCGTACCCCAAGTAGAAGGAGGAGCAAACACAGGCACGCTCCCTCCGACGCTTGTCATGGTCTCAGCATGGTTGACCGTCACCCCGTCGGACGCCTGGGGTCTCTCGATGTCGCTTCCCTGGATGGTGCAGGTGTCGCCTGACGACATGGCACCGCCGAGCACAAGCATCCGCGAAGCAGCAGAGCCCGCTAGCCTGACGTTGCGAAAGCTGACGGGCGTCGCGAACTGAAACCTCGTCCTCTCTCGGATGGTCTTGGAGGCGTCATCTGTAGAGGGAGTGACGAACGCGTTGGGGTTGCTGGGGACCGACTTGAACCGGTAGCCGGGGATGCTGATGCTGACGCTCTCGCCCTGTCGGATCCACTTGCCCTTCGCCACCTGCAGCTGCAGCTGCGTGTAGATGGTGTAGGGCTTGTTGGCCAGGTCGATGCTTCTAGGCTTGTTGCCCTTGAGGTCTGCCACCCAGTAGACGCCGCCTGCTCCCTGCTTGATGACGTACTCGCTGGACCCGATCATCGCTGTCATGCCGGTGTACCGACCGACCTGCTCCTTGGGCACGACCTGACAGTCGCTCAAGAAGGAAGTCGGAAACTCTTCCGCCACCACAAAGCATTGTCTAGCTGGGTTGTAGTCGAGGATAGACTGGGTGACAACGGTGCTCGTCACGTTGGTCAAGGAGACGTCAAACACTGGAAGCTCAAGCTGCTGGACTGTCGAGGGCAGGCCGACACTTGGCTTGAGCGAGGTGGTGATGGTGGGGATGGACGTGTATCCGCTGCCTTGAGACGTGAGGCTGGCACTCGCCACAGAGACAAGCACTCGCAGCTGGGTGTTCTTCCCGGACACGGTCGCATACGGATATCCGGAGTACAGCCCGGGGGCAGTGACATGCACAGCTGGGCTGGTGCTGTAGAGAGAAGAGATGGTAGCATTCGCCGGCAGGACTTGGTAGGTAGCATCGAAGACGATCGTGTCACCAGCTGCCAACAAGCTGCCTGACACGTACTGGACTCCCACCACCTGGTACAGCAGCGTCCCTGTTGCCTGATCGGTCGCGCCAGATGCCACAAACGTCGGCGCGGCTCCTGATACTCCCGAGCTCTCCGAGTATCTCCCGCTGATGACCACAAGGCCCCCGTGCCGCACTCGCACGCTTGTGACCTGACCGCCGGCTGTCACCGTGTGCTGATTGTTGCGGCACTTGAGCTGCATGCCGACATAGTCCGACGGTTGAAGGAGGTTGACGCTGGTGTTCCTGTAGCAGATGTCCTGCGTGTACCCTAACGACGACGAGGCTCCGTTGGTCACCTTGGTCAGCACCAGCGTCTTCGATGGACCCCCGAAGGTGATGTCGCTGTCCGGAAGGCCCCACGGGCAGGACACGCGGCTCCAGCACAAGTCCTTGTTCTTGTTGTAGCCATCGTCATCCCGCGACAGCACAAACAAGCCGTCCACGTCTCCGTCTCCTGACCGATGCCTGTTCCCGTCCGCCACCCAGCCGTTGCTGATGTATGCTCGAGCGCGATCTTCCTGGTAGTAGTTGAGCTCCCACTCCAGCTGCGTGGTGAAGGTGGTGAAGGCCGGGTTGGGCGACGACGTCACGCCGAAGATGGGACCCGTGACAACGTCGTAGGCAGGCAGGTTGACGAGGAGCGTGTCGCCTTCGTAGAGGTTATGCTCGGGAGTGACCGTGAACACGACATCTCTGCTGGGCTGCTCCTGGAGCTGCATGCTGGACTTTGCTCGGACCTCGTAACCACTGTCTAGCGTCGCAGACACAAATGATAAACCCGACGTGACCGTCAGAGCTTGAGCGCTGGCGGCAGTGCCCTGGTTGACCAGCTGCAGCTGGACTGTGTAGATAGAGTGATCGTAGACGATCGCTTCTGCTTGCGCGCCGCTCCCGGAGCCCGAGGGGTCGACGATCAAGACTCGAGGACGCATCGTGTAGCCTGAGCCAGGCGCTGTCAGGCTGATGGACGTGACGGCACCGGAGATCACGGTCGCGGCTGCTGAGGCAGAGCTGCCGGCAGCAAACACTACCCCAGCAGCTGTGCATGTCGGCTTCGTCCAGAACTCAGCTCCAGGCGTAACGTCGCATATGATCACACTAGCATACTGATACCCCGACCCTCCCGCTGTGACCTCCACCTTGTACAGGCCCTTGGATCGGCGAGCATTGACGTTGTAGAACGGGTCGTAGACGGAAGATGAGTACTGCGTTGACGCCCCGGTGTACGAGATCTGTATCGTGTTGTCGAGGTACTTGCATACGCTGTTGAACACAGCCGCAGGCGCTATCCCGTTGGCGCGATGCTTGTTGGTAGCGGCATTGACAACCTGGCCGTTCCTAGCTATCGTACATGGGATGTCCGATGATCCAGCGTTCTTCATGCTGACAAACGATCCGACTGTGATAGTCTGACCCGAGGTGAGAGGATAGTTAGGCTGTAGCTCCATCGTCAACCAGACTGTGCTGCCTGTCACATTCGATCCCGACCTGATGTTGGACGATATGAACTTGCGATCTGAGATGTAGCCCGCACACCCTGACGGCTCAGACGTGTAGCCGGCTACCTTCCTGGTCACATCATTGTTGCAGAGATACGACTGAGCTCCTCGGTACACGGCAGGTGCAGACGGTGAATCTACTGTCAGCGAGACCTGAGGGCAGGTCGCTTGTCCTGTCTTGACGTTGGTGAGCTGGAAACAAAACTTGTACTTGGAGTTCTGCTGCAGCGACTGTGACGGGCCCAGCTGAAACTGTATCGTTGACTTGTCATACGTCGCGTAGTTGTCTTGCGGGCTAGCCCCAACTGTCTGGAACAGCCCGCTGGTAAGAGGCGATACCCCATACTCATCGTACAAGGCTACTTTGGTACCGGAAGAGAACATGTCCAAGCCCGTCAGAGTGAAGGTCGTCGGCGCATTGATAGACTTGCTGGGTCTCAAGGTAATGCAAACAGGGTTGACAGCTCCAGGAGCCGGACTCAACTGCCCGATGTCATACTTGTTGAGCAGCTGCCTCGTCAAGTAGAGAGCGTGCAAGTCTTTGCGCATCGGTGACGCCATAAGCTGTGGGCTCGACAGCTTGTTCTCAGCAAACTGACATGACACGGAGACAGAAGGGCTGGCCTGCTCCGTCACGCCATTCGTCAAGGTGTAACTCCATGCATATGTCCAGCCAGCATGCATGCAATTAGACGGTCGACCCTTGACAGGCAGCTGGCAAGCTCCTGGAGCAAGAGTGACTACGAGCACTCCTCGTGCTTTGTCCCAGCTCGACTTCTGGATGTTGGGGAAGTACTGGTCTGTGATGGCAGCAGCAGACAAGGACGTCACGGCTGTGTCGGCTCCTGTGAGACCAGAGATGGTGATCTGAGGACTGTAGACGGAGCTCAACAGGTCCATGTTAGACCTCAAGGTGACGGTAATGACGTTCTTCTCCTGCACGACCGAGGTTGACTGGGCGATAACTCGAGTCAGGAAGCTGTAATCGTACGTCTTGAGCACGCACACGTCTCCGTCTGTCTCACCGTCCTCGAGGGCTCTATCGACACGGTTCTGCACCATGTTGACCGTCTGCGTGACCAAGCGGTTGCCAGGGCCAACACCAGAGAAGCTCATGGTCACTGATTGACAAGGGTTGGAGACCTTGGGGTTCTTCAGCCTGAGAGCGAACACAATGTCCTGCTGCTGAGGGATCGAGTAGTACATCTGACTCGCAACATCGTCCTGGTTGACGGTCAGGACGGCTGATCCAGACGACCAGCTTGTCGTATGATGGAGTGTACCTCCCGTAATCTGGTCGATGAAGTGAGCTGTTGGCGGATCAGACTCGGGCTGTAGCTGCATCAAGCTCCAGTCGTATGACGGACAAGCCTTCACGAACAGCGCGGTTGTCGTTTGAGATCCCTGTAGGCCTGAGATAGTAATCTGGGCCAGGTTGTTCTGACCTTGGGTGTTGGAGAGCGTGGAGACACGAAAGTTGCTTCTCAGCGTCACGCAGATGTAGTTGGCAACGTCAGGACGGGTAGTCGATTGTCCGATCTTGTACTTGATAAACCCAGGACTCAGCACCGTGCCGACTGTGTTGCCGATGTTCTCCACAGCCTCCGCGCTCACCACGTCTCCTCCTTTCTGCATACTGACAGTCATCGAGCACGCCGGGTGAGCCAAGTCCAGGTTCCGCCAAGTCCATGACAGAGCGTAAGTACCGCGAGCAACGAGACTCAAGCTGCTCGCCACAGTGATCTTGAGAGGTCCCCCGCCACTCCAGTCCAGCCTTGAGCCTGGCCAGTAGTCGGCAAGGTCGACCTCGCTCGGGTTTCCAGTACATGTGTCGGTCAGCGGCGTCCCGCCGTTGAGCCTGTTGCTGACTAGAGAGACATAGGCTGAGTTGCTCTGGGAGCCACAGAGGCCCTGAATGCTGATGACCGACCCTACCTCGACGTTGAAGTTGGGCCGGAGCGTCACAAAGAGGTTGGTCAGTGAGCCAGGGTCGCTTGAGCTTTGAAACATCGACACCCTCAGCTTCTTGCCCACCACCTCCAAGATCCTCGACGACGAGTCAAACGAGGTCGGCGCAACCGTGATCGCTACAGACTTGGGTAGCGTACAGAAGTCATTGGTCAGACACGCCTGCCCGGACATTGACACTTTGAGGTCTCGAGACGACTGAGGGTTGCCACCCGTCACAAGACTGAAGGAGAAGGTCAGCACCTCTCCAGCTTGGATGTAATGCCCGGGTATGAGCTGAAAGGTCAGGGTCCCGTCAGCCTTGAAGTCTGCTGAGCCGACGGTGTTGGCGGTGGTGGACGTTCGAAACCTCGCAGGCATCAAGTCCTGCACGGGGCTTGAGCCTTGGCATTGACACTTGTTCTGAAAGAGCCGCACGGGCTGACTGGTGGTAGAGGCTCCCGTCAGTCCGGTGAGAGTGATGGTGGTGGGATTGACGCCAGCCGAGTAGAGGGTGGCCGAGCTGATCAGAGTGACGGTGATGCAGACAGCTTGATTGGGCCCATCGTTGTTGCCTGACGCTGCCGCATAGACGAAGGCTGGAGGAGCTACGGTGCCGACGGCTCCTGCTCCTTTCCTGGTAGGGATGGGAGGCAGGTCCGTACCAAACCTCACTGAGCGATACTGGTCGAAGGGAACTTGATACACCAGGAGATCGCTAGTGCAAGGCGTCGACGGAAAGTCACTGATCGCCCTCACCGCACAGCCTCGTGAAGATCCAGATGCCTGATACACGGCCACATTCGCTAGCTGATACCAGTGCTCGTCTATCCCTCCGATGGGCGGGAGAGGGCCCAGCCCGTTCTGCTTGCCGTGAACGTCATAGTTCTGATACAAGGAGACCTTGCTGATGTACACGCCTGTGATGGGCTGGGATGAGGACATGAGGAGACGGAGCGTCTCTTTCTGTGAGTCCCAATGACACATGGAGAAGGAGTTTGCTTGGAGCTGCTTGAGATCGAAAGCGTTCGACGAAAGGTCCTGGGTGATCCCAAAGCATCCTCCCACTCCCGGACCAGCCTCGAGCGAAGACTGGCTTGACACAGGGAGACCTGCAGCCCATGGCTTGGACACGCTCTCAGATATGGTGACGACTTGACCTTGCTTCATCCACATGACGCTTGTCTCTGCGCTGCCAGATCTGTATGCGCCGAAGAGGTTTGATCCTCCTGAAAAGCGCGGGAGATAAACTTCGATGACGGTATCCGATGCAAGAATGTCACTCCCTTCGCTCCAAGCTCCCAGTGACCCCCAGTAGATCTTGAGGTCTGTCGCTTTGAGGTCTGACGCGCCTCCTTCCATCTGAAGCTGAGCCGTCTCTGCGACTGTGTACTTCATCCCAGACTGCGAGACGACAGCAGCATGCGCAGGACAGCTGATGGAGAGGACAAGCAGCAAGATCGCCTGAGAAATTGTCATTGTTTGCTTTCAATGCAATCGAAACAAGAGCACCTCTCGCACACGAATATTGGCCAGCATGGGTACAAGTGCAGCACACTCGTGAGAAGCGTGTGATTCCTTTCTGCGTTGAGATAGAATCAGTGATTCATTGCCTGAGGTAGAGGGACCCATGTTACATCCTTCTCCCTTTTTCTTCTTGTGTTCCAACCATCACAACATTTCAATGATTTTCTAATAGCATCCTCACTCATAGTTTCATTCTTATCTCTCGGATGATACCATCAGCCTAGCTCCTGAACTCGAACAAAGCTTAGAGTTCAGTCTTACATCCTAGATCGCCTGCACTCTTGACTCTACCTCATGACTCATGTACATTCTCCTTGTCTCCCCCACACACACATGCATTCCCAACCCGGTACCCTGCTTATAAGTAGGTCCGGCTCCCCATCCGTCCGAAATGGTCACTGTAAAAAATGTAACCGAGACCCCTTCAACCCCAGTGATTTCTTAAGTGACACACCAATTGAAATCGCCCTAGGTGTGTCCCCTGCATATCCAGCGCAACGGTCCTCTGTCTACTTCTGATGTTACTTTCGCTGGCCCGGTGAAGAAAATCCTAGGTGACTATCTCATGCGATTTCTTAAGTGACAGACTAATTGAAATCGCCCTAGGTGTGTCCCCTGCATATCCAGCACAACGGTCCTCTGTCTACTTCTGATGTTACTTTCGCTGGCCCGGTGAAGAAAATCCTAGGTGACTATCTCATGCGATTTTATAAGTGAGAGACTAATTGAAATCGCCCTAGGTGTGTCCCCTGCATATCCAGCGCAACGGTCCTCTGTCTACTTCTGATGTTCGCCGTGATGTAAAAAACAGAAAAAAAACAGAGGCAAGTAGACAGAGGACCGTTGCGCTGGATATGCAGGGGACACGCCTAGGGCGATTTCAATTAGTCTCTCACTTATAAAATCGTGTGAGATAGTCAGCTCTGTTCAGCGATATCAAAAAACAGAGGGGGGTAATAAATGACCACAGTAGATGTGCGCGGGACCCAAACAAAGTAATTGTTGGAGGCAACGAATATGTGGCTGATGGAATTGTAACGAATGCACCTTTGTAGAGATCTGTTCACCCGGTGGCGGCGCTACACAAGATGAACTTCAAGAAACGTCTTTCAGATGTGAAGTACCATACATTTCAGATATTAAATAGCTTACGAGTTGAAGCATCAAAGAATTATGAACCTTTTCCCTGGTTCAACCAGATATAAGAGTGATATAGACACATGCAGCGAATGTGATCTTTAGCTTCATCTGAATATTAATTCAGCTTAGAGGGAAGATGCTGTTAATGACATTGACGCAACACGACTCTCGCCTCTTCTCTTCATGAGATCGTTCAACTGAATCACCATTGAATCCCCAGATCGGAGATCAGGTCAGGCTTTCAACAGCTGGATCATTCAAGAGTGCAGAATTGTGTCCGAGTGCGATCTACATTTTCAGATTGATCTCAACAACTGGAGTACTGCGACTACGACATCAAGTCACTTCGACCTCAAATGGATCGAGACTCCTCCTACGACATCGTCGTCGCCCTAGAAGCATAGCACACTCATCACCAGGGACTCGAGCAGGGAGCTGAGAAAATCCTTGCCAAGCGCACCCATTTACGTGGTCCCCTACATGTGCGGGCACGGTGTGCGGTATGAGCCTTTGGTAATATACAGGGGCTCAAGTGTTTAGAGGACAATCTTTTTGTTGCAAACCCACCTGTATTTGTACACGTAATCTACAAATGAACGAAAGCTAAGGTGTGAGTATTCTAGAGATTGGTATAAAGGAACACTAGGAACTCAAATCACTATACCATGAAATCTTGTCTCAAATCACTATACCATCAATCACTGTACCATGAAATCTTGTCTCAATCCTTCTAGATCCCATGAAGTCTTGCAAGGTACGCAATTTGTAGTTTGGGGAAACTATTCGAGTTTGATGTCAGGATGCAAGTTTCTTTATTTGCCTTCATAGAAACCTAAAGAATACATTAAAATGTCTCTTCACCATTGTTGTCCTTCAAAATTCAAGACACGTCAGGGCCTCAGCTCCATCTGTGGTAGCCTAAACCTTGATTTTGAAAGGTCGGTTCTACTACAAACTGACTTCTTACAGTGAAGCCATCTGCACTTACTGGGGATCCCTGTACCAGAAGCGGAGCTGCTTGTTGTGCAGGCGGCTCAAGGGTGACATACCTATTCTCCTCATTCCTTCTGTTCCTCTCCTTGTAGACCATCCAGCCGATAGCCACCAGCACCAGCCCTGCTCCCACTGACCCGATGGCGATCCCTGCGATCGCGCCCGAGGACAGAGCAGGCGGCGGTATCAATGATATGCTGAAAGATGTAGCGTTGGGGATGCTCCTCTGCGAGAAAGCCACGTTCAATCTCGTCAACGTCTGAGATGCGTTGGCTTGTACTGACTCGACAAAGCCCGAGGGGTTGTCCACCTTCAAGTCTGCCGAGAAAGAGAGAGATTGGTTGGACCGTCGTTGCACGTATCCGATGACCGTCGGGCTGTTGACATCGGCGACGTTGAGTCTGAGTCCCTCCGCCAGCGCTTGCTTGATCTGGTCGAAGTTGGAGCTGAAGAAGGTGTCTGACATGGGCGAGACGACCTGCAATCGAACCGCAAAGCCGGAGGCCGAGCTTGAGGCTGTGTAAGTAGGTGGAGCAGCTGGGGCTGAAGGCGGACTTGGAGCTCCACCTCCACCTCCACCACCGCCGCCGCCTCCACCTCCTCCTCCACTGCCTCCACCACCACCGCTGCCACCTCCTGATGGAGAAGGCGGTGGTGGAGGAACATTCGGAGAGGGAGGAGAAGGAGATGAAGGAGAAGAAGGAGGAGTAGGTGAAGGAGCTGGAATAGGAGAAAGTGGAGTAGGAGAGGGCGAGGGCGAGGGCGAGAGAGGGGATGGAGTGGATAAGCCAATCGTCGAGCTTGTGGTCAAACCAGTCGACGAAGAAGCCGGAGAAGATGAATCGCTATTCGAGGGAGGATTTGCACCAAGAGGAGTAAACCCCGAAAAATGATCGATCAAAGCCTCCAAGACCGGAGGAGTCGCGTTCGGTCTTGGGGTAGAAATCTGTCGCTCCCACGGATTCAATGACGATGAGTTGTAGTAGAACACGTAGGGTCGAAGATTCGCTGGTATCTTGTCAGGATTGTACGGGATGCTGATGGTTATCGGCTTCTTGAACCGAAGACCAGCTGGAGTAAAGATGATCACGGGCCCAGCTGGTACGAGCGTCTCCGTAGTCCCTTGAGATAGGTTAAGACTTGACGCGTCGTAGACCGCCACGCTGATGGTCTGAGACCCCAGCAGAGCCCCAGCTGGAAAGCTGACCGAGAGCCCGCCCGATCCTGAGATAGTTGCTGCCTCACCTGGCGCAATGGACTTTGTTTGCACCTGAGAAGGAGTTCCCAGACTCTGAGAGCAGCCTGGCCCGAACTGCCCCGCATTGCAGACACAATATTTATCTGTGACCACACCGTAGCATTTGTATTGACAGTCGCTGCCGTACAGTGCGATCCCTTGGCCGTCCTTCCCGCAAGAGCTGGGTGCGAGGGCGACTGTGGCGAGGCCGCTTGTGAGGTTTGCATTGTAGACCAGATAGGAAGGAGCAAAGCTCACACAGTCCGAGCACACAGCGCCAAGCGTGATCGGATCTCTGCCGTATGATGGGTTGACGACCTGCACAGTGAAGGAAGTGGAGTTGACCTCAGTCTTGACAAACACGGTAAGCTTGCCCGCTGTATCCGACCAGAGAGCATAAGACAATATGTCATTGCCTGAGACTGAGACATTGTCGGGGTTGCCGTCGATAGTGACATTGAGACCAATGATGGAGAAATTGCTTCCAACCTTGAGAGGAAAGTTGGAAGTCAAGAAGATGGTCAGCTGGTTCAGCATCGTTGCATACTGTGTTCCGCTCAGCACGGAGAGTCCGGTCCACTGGGGAGTAGCAAGCCATGTACACAGAGACAGATGCTCGCTGACTTGCGCAGGAGTCGTCGACGGAGAAGACATGTCCGGAGTAGTTTCCGGAGCAGAGATAGCTTCAGTAGCCGAGGGAGAAGAGACGACTGGACTGCTTGAGGAGGAGGAGATTATTGGAGGGCTAGAGGAGGAAGACATCACCGGAGTAGAGGACGAGGAGGAGATGATCGGAGTACTTGAGGAAAACGCTATCTCCGAGGTACTGGAAGAGAAGGATATCACCGTGGTCTGGAAAGGTGCAGGCGTTGTTTCCGCAGGTGTGCTGGTCAGAGGCGACGAGAAGATCTCCTTCGTGGTCTCCACCGGATTGCTGCAGGTCCAGTATGGCTCAACTCGACACAGCGAGCTGCAACCATCGCCAGAGATTGTGTTTCCATCATCACAAGTCTCACCAGGGTCGAGAACTCCGTTTCCACACAACTGAAGAGTCGGCACGGGAGTACTCAAGGATGGTGTACTGAAGGCTGACGAAGAGATGACGGGAGAGCTGGAAAAAGTCGATGAGACGACCGGAGTAGTCGACGTAGCAGACGAAGTAGACGATGAGATGACCGGAGTTGTGCTCGGAGCAGAGGAGATGATCGGGGTGGTGGTGGAGGAGGACAAGACCGGAGTAGGGGAGGAGGAGGAGAGGACCGGAGTAGAGGAGGAGGAAGAGGAGATGACTGGAGTAGAACCAGTGAAGGAAGAATTGACCGGAGTGCCTGAAGGAAAGGGAGAGATGACCGGAGTACCTGAAGGAAAGGGAGAGATGACCGGAGTAGAGGAGGAGGAAGAGGAGATGACTGGAGTGGAGGAGGAGGAGGAAAGGACAGGGGTAGAGGAGGAGATGATCGGAGTGGAGGAGGAGGAGGAAAGGACAAGGGTAGAGGAGGAGGAGATGATCGGAGTAGATGAGGAGGAGGAAAGGACAGGGGTAGAGGAGGAGATGATCGGAGTAGATGAGGAGGAGGAGAAGACTGGAGTAGAGGAGGAGATGATCGGAGTAGAGGAGGAGGAGGAAAGGACAGGGGTAGAGGAGGAGATGATCGGAGTAGATGAGGAGGAGGAAAGGACAGGGGTAGAGGAGGAGGAGATGATCGGAGTAGATGAGGAGGAGGAGAAGACTGGAGTAGAGGAGGAGGAGATGATCGGAGTAGATGAGGAGGAGGAAAGGACAGGGGTAGAGGAGGAGGAGATGATCGGAGTAGATGAGGAGGAGGAGAAGACTGGAGTAGAGGAGGAGATGATCGGAGTAGATGAGGAGGAGGAAAGGACAGGGGTAGAGGAGGAGGAGATGATCGGAGTAGATGAGGAGGAGGAGGAGATGATCGGAGTAGATGATGAGGAGGAGGAGGAGAAGGCTGGAGTAGAGGAGGAAGACAATGCTGGAGTAGGGGAGGAGGAGGAGGAGATGATCGGAGTACTTGAAACGAACGTAGATTCCCAGGGAGCACTCTCAGAGCAGGTGAGAGGTACAAGTGAACACATCACAAGAAGATGCCATACAAGTGTCTTCCTCCCCCACATCGCCGCAACCCTCGTCTGCATGCTCGTAGCCCCCACCATCCCCATGCGCTGATCCCGTCGGAGCGGACCTATCTCCTCAGTCATTGGGCCCAGGCAGATTTCGAGGTTAAATGCCCGACCAGTCATTGAAAGGGCAGCCATCAAAGGGGTAGGGTGGTGGCTTTGAGGTCCCCTTCTCCACCCACGAGTTGCACCTAGATACCAGGGGTCCTATCTGGTCGAATTGCATCTGGGAGGGGTGGTGTAGAGGTAGAGGGTGACTTCTATCACGGTTGGTAGTCCTCAAGAGGGGACCAGGGGTGGGTACCGGTAGGTACTCGCTGTTAAGTTGGCGCTGGTTGATGGGGGGTGGGGGTGGAGAGGCGCATTGTTGGAGTATGCGAAGAGTCATGATGACCCCACCCCCTCAACCCCCTCCTCAAATGCGCCTCAAGCATCGAAACTTCGACCCACCTACCCCTCACTTGAGCCTTCACAGTCAACTTTACAGTCACGGAGTTGTGCTCAGTGAGGGGTAGGGTCGGGGGTCGCTCCCGACCCTCTACCACCCCCCCTCCTCCTCAACTTTGCTTCTATGATGATCCGTTGTGGCCCCAGACCCTACCCCCTCTTGTCCACCTCAACTGTAGGAGCCCCACCCCCTCCATGACAATCCCGAGCCCCCTGGCACCATGACCAGTCAATTTTCTCACGTACTCTTGCCAAGGACAAAGTCAGTAGTAAATTTCTCCCTCCCCCTCTACCTGTGGAACGCTAGCGACTCCTGTCATCACCTGCCTCGAGCACCCACCTCGAGATCTGTTCTTGACAAGTACCGTGACATCGCACAAGGGGTTAGCCGGAGCAGACGCCGGGCTGCAAAGCGGGCCAGGCCGAACTTCATGATCACTTCTCATACGACTGAGACAAGTGACTTGAGCGCTAGTGACCTCGAACTATTAGTGACAAATGGTTCTTCGATGGTTGACGCGGAGGCAATCAAAGTATATTTTCAGAGTTTAGATCACTTACTAGAGGATTCTAGCGAAGAGCATGTTTTAGACATCGGCATTGGGATAATCCCAGCCAGATCTGCTTCATTAGATAATGATAATGATAGATCACATTTGATCCCATCGCAAGATACATATCATGAACAAAGTGATTCTTTTCTGACTTACGGGTGACATCTCGGGCATTCCGATGTAACACCATGCAAATCCCATATTTCAGCTGCTAGCAGAGACAAGCTCCTCCAGGCCCTCGACATGCCCCGGTCATCTGAAGCGCGACTCTTGTTTGATGATCTGCTGTCTCTGTACATTCGTCGGGTATGAAAATATTTGCATTCTCTCTACCAACTTGATAAGTACCATCAGCTGCTGCTGCATCCTGGTGGAACTCAAACATGGCACTACCTGCAAGCTCGATAAGAGGTGGGGGGCTGGCACTGTTCTTCACATTCCAATGCTGGGTAATCAACATTTGTTGCTGTATGCATGGTTGGATGTATGCAGTTCAACCTCCTGCAAATGCAGCAAGAATGTGATCAGAATGCAGATCGTCTCGGCGCAACAGAAGTCCATGACGATCGTTGTGAAGTGCATGCTCCATCCTAGTAATCACGCATGGCATCGCAAGGATGACACTTTTCGCATGTTCTCTCTTCAAGATCGTCCTGCAGGCACGTACGGTATTCGGCGCATGCTCTGTCAGCTCAAGGCGTCCCTGCCCTCCCCTGCCCTCGTCCTCCTCCTCCCCGCCCCCACCCCTTCCTGACCTTCCCCCGCCCTGTAGTAACTTTCTCAATAAACTTTACTCAACTGGGAAGACCTGAAGTGCCCGTCACATCTCCGTAATTTAACTCAACTCTCCGATTTCTTTGTAATTTAACTCAACTTTGAGTAAAAGGGCTGACGGTAGTACCGGACGATGATGCTTCGGAAAGATAATTACGGAGTACTGAACGGCTCCAGCCCCGGCCCGGGGGCCCGGGGGCCCGTCCCCGGTCCCTGCCGAAGCGCACCGGCCTCGGACTCGGGACTGATAGCCACCTTGAGAAGAGACTGACATGACACTGATCTCAGACCTCAACTCGTGTCAGACTGGACCCCTCCTACTCTCCTTCCGTCTTTCCTAGCTCACGTCCTCTGAGACTCATCATAACCTCAACCCCTGTCAACGTGTTCGATGTTCTCGGATGCCCGATTGACCTCTTGTGGGAGCTGGTGAAGTCCTGCTGGAGGAAGGACCCCTCCATCAGGCCCAAGTGCTGACTCAAACTTGGACCTGGTGTGACCTGCCGAGCTGCCCAAAAGGTTGGAGGCAGGTAGTTTGAAAACTGCAGCCAATGCGAGCAGAAGAAAAGCAAACACCAAGACGACATTCAACTTGATGAAGGGGCGCAGCGAGTTCAACGAGGCAAAGTCAGTGCATCTGAAGATGGATCAATGTGCGGGTGGGATCTGCATAATTGTATTTCTTCTTTCTCTCCTCTTCTCCAACGATGCAAACATTATCCGAGATGTTGTCAACTTTGCTGTAAGGCAGCCATGGCAGCAAGACTGGCAATGTACTACATCTAAACAGCCAAAACTTGACAACCTCAACCAAAAGAATCAAGTACATCATGACTGACATCAAGAAAGATCCCAACAATCCTCCTCTAATACATTGCAGATTCCGAGAAATCATTCGAATGGAACCCTTGCCTCTCTTCTCGAAGAACCTACTTCACTTTAAAAGCACACAACCTTTTAAAAAACACGATGCAGAGACACATGGACAAAGAGCATGTCCAGCGTTCCTGAACTTGAGCAGGCCTCTGATTCATGGTTGTCCCAGGTACAGGAAACTGGCTGTCCGCTCAATCGAAAGGTGATTTGTGAGAGATTCTTCATATTACATTCTGTTTGTGATGATGACGCCTCTTCAGGATCACATTCTCCATCAGCGAGGAAACAAGAGAATGGGACAGGAGTCGACATCACTCTGGATGCAGTAAAAATGCACTTGAAGTCTGTAACAGGTAGTCCTCTCATTGTTCAGACATGTACCTTAATACCTTGCAAAGGTTTGCGATCACTGTCTTGAGACGATCGCCACCCTGATTTTCAAGAGCGAGGAGAGCAAGATAAGCTTCGGTAATCCTGCAAATCCACAAAATCGACGATGTCGGAAAGATCTTAACTGCCATGCAGAGGTTTCGCACAGACAACGACGTCATCGCCAACTGCAGCCTGGCTCTCTCCAACATCGCGACATGCTGCGGCACATCGCGCGACTTCGTAGGTTGAGGTGGCATTCAAACTTTGCTTGATTGAATGACAAGATTTCCGTCTAACGTCCTTGTCCTTTCTCGCGCTTGAAAAGCCATTGGGAACCTGGCGACTCAGCGAGGTTTCAAGAGAGCCTTCTCTCAGTGCGGGGTATTCGCGGCAGTCATCCAGGGGATGAGGAACATGCTGGAAGTGCAGAAGGCTCAGATCAGCGGCTATCGCGCCCTCCTCAACCTTGCGTACGACGAGGAGAACAAACGGCTCATCTTCGAGGACGGCGGTACAGACCTGATTCTGTCCTCCATGCAGCAGCACGCCGGCAGCACCAGGGTGCATATGTTCGGGTGTTTGGAGCTGCACCAGATGATCTTCAAGAACGAGACGGTGAGGAGGCGCGTGCAAAGCAGTGGGGAAACGGAGTTGATCGCAAGAGCTGTTCAAGATCATGCGTAGGATTCTTCCCTGCTTGTATTGCCCTTGTATCCCTGTTTGCTGCGTAACGGTGTTTGACAGGCTCTGTGCGTTCCTGCCCAACAAATTCTTGCACAAGCCTAGCAGCGACTTGTTGTTTCTCCCTTGTACTATCAGAAGCCCCTAACCTTATCTCACCCTGCCACTTTATCTTGTTCGCCAGCATGCTAATAGTAGTTAGAGGGCTCCTCTCCCAGTCTTATCTCGTCAACCACGCTCCTCTGAAGAGAGAGGGAGTCAGAGAAAGGGAGAGAGAGAAAGAGAGGAGGAGTTTTTTAGAGTAGGAGGGAGAACGAGAAGGAGAGAGAGAAAAAGGCAGGGGGTTGCGGAGGCAGTAGTGAAAAAGGGAGGAAGGGAGAAAGAGAGGGAAGGAAAAATTGGTTGCTCAGATTAGGGGAAAAGAGAAGGTAGAGGAGTGAGAGGAGAGGAGGAATGGAAATCTGTTGAGGAGATGAACGAAGGAGACAGAGATGGTTTCCTATCTCCTTGTCTCCCTCAAGCCTTCCACCCGCTCCCCCACCCCCTCTCTCCCCCCACAGTGCTGCCACAGTGTTCCACTTTCCGTCGTGACCCTACCCCTTCTTGATTACCCTACCTGTCTTTAGAAATCAATTTGGTTTTCTCTACCCGTATCCTTTCCATTCAGAAATGGTCAAAATACACCACCATACCCCTTCCCATTTCATCCCACCCCATGAACATCTACCCCTACCCGTACTCCTTGAGGGACATTTCATGCCAAGAGTGCGGGGAGGAGTGAGGAGTGAAGAATGAGGGAGAGGGGAGCAGAGCAGAGCAGAGCAGAGCAGAGCAGAGCAGAGCAGAGCAGAGCAGAGCAGAGCAGAGCAGAGCAGAGCAGAGCAGAGCAGAGCAGAGCAGAGCAGAGCAGAGCAGAGCAGAGCAGAGCAGAGCAGAGCAGAGCAGAGCAGAGCAGAGCAGAGCAGAGCAGAGAAATGATTAAGAGATAAATCATAGATCAGAAGAAGGAAGAAGACGAGGGGTAACGCGATGCGATGCGATGTGAGGAGAGGCAGCGAAGAGAAGGAGAGAACAAGAGAAATAGAGCATTGATGAAAAGATGTCAGCGAGTGAGCGAGTGAGCGAGCGAGTGAGTGAGTGAGTGAGTGAGTGAGTGAGTGAGTGAGTGAGTGAGTGAGTGAGTCACAGTCAGTCGGTCGGTCGGTCAGTCAAACAGATCAACTTGTTTTGTGCTTTCTGAACAGAGTTGTATTTCTTCTCTCTGCCTTTCTTTCCTTCTATTCTCTTCACTTCTCTTCACTGCTTCACTCTTCCTCCCTTCTTCCCGCATTTACTTCTTTCTCTGCTCAGCGTCTTTCACTATCCACTCCGCTCCTTATTCCTCCTTGTTCCTCCTCCTCCCTCTAGGAGAGGAGGAAAAAGGAAAAGGGAGAGAGAGAGGAGGAAGAAGAAAGATAGGAGGAGAGAGGAGGAGAGAGGAGGTGGAGAGGAGGAGGAAGGATGAGGAAGGATGAGGGAGGAGGAGGAGCAGGGAGAGAAGGGCTTGGCACAAAAGTTCACGTGTTGATGTAATACCCAGCGATGTAGCTCTCGACAGCCCGATCATTTCCATACCTTATATTCATGACGGAGAGCACTTGATACTTGTACCCTTCGAGCAGTGTACTCTCTCTGCCCCATCTGCTCCTCAGGAACCTCAGAGCAGCAGCAACGAACTGCTCGTGCAGTCGCTCTGGCAACACCTTGGCATCAAAGTCGACAGCATGGAGGTACGACTCAACACTGTCGTAGAAGATGGGGTCCATTGAAGCACTCTTGCTCCTCGTTTCCCTCTCCTGTGCTGATCTCACATCATAGGCCGAGCAGTCCTGCTCGCTCTTGACCGGAGCCTGCCAGCCGCCGAAGAACCCGCGGAAGTCCGGGTCCTTGAACGCCAACCATCCCTTGCCAGCCTTTTCGATGAAGGAGACGAGCCGCGGGCTGCTGTGGACCCTAGAGTTGATCATGGAGCAGAGGTACAAGCAGGCGAAGACCTCGTGCACATGCAGCGGGGTGTGGTAGAAGAACTCGTCGAACGAAGCCTTGAAGACTCTCCTTCTTGGTGGAGCGAACCAGTCTTGCAGCTCCCTGCTCTGCTCTCCGTCTTGGAATGCCGCCCTCACCATGCTCTCAAGTTCCTCTTGGTTTTCGAAGAGATGTGACATGGAGCACAGGGGGATCGAATGGCTCTCAATGAATTTGGACTCGAGAGAACCCCTCCGGATGGTTTGTACAGACTCGACTGAGCTTGTGCATAGATGTTCCTTTGAGCTGTAATGAATCGTAACCATTCCCAGAGTCGGAATCTGTCCTCTGATAGTCTGGAACGAGGTAACGGTGAAGATATTACGAAGGCTCATGTTACACTGCAAGGCGTTCCAACCGTCCTTGAGCAGAGAGGACACAAGGATGCACCACACGTGAGTCTTGTGCAAGGAACCCTCTTGATTCAACAACTCGAGCATAGCGACAAGTGTCTCTAAGAAGCCGTAGAGGCTACATACCTTTGCTTCACGCAGCCAGTTCCGGTTCAACGTCAGAAAGCTGTATGTGTGGATTTGCCAGCATAGAGCAGGGCTCTGCTTGATTGCCTTATCCAGACATGCATTAAACTCCTCCTCATTCATCTTCAGGACGTTCCTTCCCAAGACGTCATAGAGGGGAATGTTCTTGAGGGAGCGGAGGGAAGCATCCTGGTCATGAGGCTTGAGGTGCTCATGCATCCAAGGATCATTGTGAACAAGACTGTCACGAGTCGCCTTCAAACCACACTTCTCCTTCAGCTTCTCCCCCAGGGAGGGCGAAAACTCTAACACATCCACCTGCATTGCCAGCCCGGGAATCTGGAGGGCAACTTGCCAAAAGCGGTATGGCTAAGGCAGAAAAACGGTCCACTTACCAAACGGGAGTCCCGGAGTCCGGGCCTTTCAACTCGCCGAGTCGCCCGGACCTTGCCGCATGCCGGGCCCAGGACAGCCTCCACCAAATTGCTAGGTATCTCCTTAATTGGTATCTGCTGCCCCCAATTTTGACTTACCCCCCATCCCACTCGAGGCTCCTACCCCCCCGTTCACACAAAAAGTACCCCCTGTTTTCGCAGAGTCTTCTACCCCTTGTTCGAGGAAATTCTCTTTGGGACCTTGACTGAAAACTTTTACTCATCCACGATTCAAAAAAAAAGGTGTGCACCCCTCACTCCTTGGACCCCCATTCTGATCACCCCTACCCTCACCTTCACTACCCCCACCCTTTGTTTTTGAATCAAATTCAAATTTTCCATGGACCTACCCGTGATTCTAGCCAGTTACATGTTATGAAGCCACCCCTACCTGTGGCAATATTGCTGTGAACTGTACCCTACCCTGTCGACACTCCCTCTGAATCGTACCCCTACAATCCAACACCCCCACCCCACCCCATTGGGCACACGCTGCCTCCTCCCGCCCTTCCCGCTCCTCTTCCATGCTGCCGCTCTGTAGCTTGCAGCCAACTTCGCATGCCATCCTACACCTTCCGGAGAGGATCTAGAGCATCAGAACAGCTCCTTCATATTCTACTTGCTTCCCCCTCCTCCTTGACCTCCTCCCTCCATTCTCAGCCCCTCCATGCTCCCATACCCCTAGCGCACTGCGGCTGGTTTGGTCAGGTTTTGAAATAGGGGAGAGGGAAATTCTGCAGGATTGCGCGAGGTTATCATGCGAACATCTTAATATTCTCTTGATTTAAACATCATTTCCATGTTTGCAAACAACATAGCATCATACAGCATGTTGTAAAATATCCATTCACTTTCAAATTGCCATGCAGTTCAAATTTTTACGTGGTTTGTTTTGTACATGTCTTTGCGAAGTGATGATATTTTGATTCTTGCTCTACATATTGATGATGTATATATTTTATGACCGTGTGTACTACTCATCTGCTTTGTTTTCCTACGCTATGTTCTAGTCCACCCTGTGATTAGCCAAATCCTTCGGCAGCATTTGGAGCGATGATGTAATTTTTACATGTTCACCAGCCATATTTCCTTGAAACCAGCTCGTGCTGTGTGGTTTTTCGTGAACAAAGCCAATTCTTCATATATTTCGGTTATGCTTCACTTGGAGTTGTAGCTTTCATACACAGACTGTGCTGTCCTTCATTTTACTCGCTTAATATCCGTCTCTATTCCGTGCTTTTCGTTTTTCATATTTTACAAGATTTGCGGACAAAGATTAATTTTCGATTGTATCATCATGTTGCTTCCATTCCTGATATCTCGTCTGAACAGACTCGCAAGTTCCCTAACCTGCAAGATTGTTCGAAGCAAACGCGCTGCTGTTCAGGGCTAGCTATACTCGCTTGTCAATGCCCCGCCACTGTGAGAGCCTGTTCGTCCGCAGATAGATAAGGCGGATCGGTGTTTTTCAAGGCAAAGGAGGTGGTTGAAAGGAGCAGCGCTCTTGCTGTGACCTGGCAATGTCGTCGGAACTCGAGAAGCTCCTTGATTTTGGATCACCTCTAGATGTTGCCCTTCTCGATCAGGTCAGGCTGGACTCGTACTGGTTTCATATTCGAGATTTCTGAATCATGTGAGGACAGGTGGTCATCGCGATGTACACTTGTAGGGATGAAGCTCAAAGGAAACAAATCAATGCCTTCATGACGGCATTTCAGGTTAGTTGACGGCCTCCTTACGTTCTTGCATGGCATCGTTATGTTTTGCCTTTGTTGACGGATGATGGTCAGGAACATCCGCAGGCTTGGACCAGGGTTGACACAATCTTGGAGCAGACCCAGTGCGATCAGAGCCGATTCTTTGTACTTTGATGTTTTTATGATGACTTTGATCTCATGATGTGCACAGGCTCTTGCAACCCTCGAGACATGTGTGAAACAGCGATGGAAGGTACCGGTTTTAGCTTGACCCTCCATCGCTTGACAATGTGGACAGGTGCTTCCACAAGATCAGCGAGAGGCCATCAAGGCCTACATTGTGAATGTGATTGTGAGGTGTGTTTCTCAATCATGTTGAACTCATGATCTTTCCACTCACTCGTGTACACCAGGTATTCGAGCGATGAAGCGACTCTTGTGCGAACAAAGACGCAGCTTGGAAAATTGAACTTGATTCTCGTCCAGGTGTGTTTCGCAAGGTGTGTCCGTTTTGGCTCACTCCATCCTTTTTTGTTGCAACAAAGATTCTCAAGCAAGAATGGCCCCACAATTGGAAGGACTTCATTCCCCAGATTGTAGAATCGGGCAAGACGAACGAAACTCTTTGTGGAAACAACATGCAGATTCTCAAGCTCTTGAGCGAAGAAGTTTTCGAGTTTTCCCTGAAGCAGCTCACCTCGAAGAAGATTGATGATCTCAAAGAAAGGCTCACACAGGAGTTCGAGTTGATCTATCAACTCTGCGAGTTTGTGATGCAGAATGCTAAGAATGTCATCACGTTGCAAGTAAGCAGAGGAAGTGTGAGGATGGCATGAACTCACTCCATTTGTCCCAGACTACCTTACAGTGCTTCCTCCGATTCTTGTTCTGGGTTCCGCTCTACTACGTCTTTGAAACTCCCTTGATCGAGATGCTCCTGCACAAGGTTGGATAGAATCTGTCTCGATGTCTCATGTCTGACGGGGAGGTTTCAAGTTTTTTCCACAACCGCAGTTCAGGAGCGACGCTCTGCAGTGTTTGACTGAGATCGCCGTGATCGAGCCCAAGGGTATTGATCCACGCTACCACCCCAAGATCCAGAAGACATATGCCGATTTCATCACAAACCTCAGCAACATCGTTCAACCCAACGCAATCAAGCAATATTATGAGGAGGTAATCACGATTGAACCTGCTTGCCGTGAATTCTGACGTGGGATCCGTTACTCAGGGAGAATCTGGCGAGGAGTTCGTGCAGCGCTTGACCTTGTTCCTGTGTACAATTTTGAAGACGCACATTGGCATTCTGGAGACTCAGGAACTAGTTCCATACTTGATTCAGGGGTTGCAGTACTTGGTCTTCATCTCCGAGGTCGATGATGACGAGATCTTCAAGATTTGTACAGAATATTGGAACTTTCTTGCCGACGACCTCTACCACAAAGAAGTTCTCCTGCAGAGAATGCCCATCCCTACGTTCTGCCAGCTCATGCCGAACCAGAATCCACGTCTTCAGACATACGCTCCAATCCTCACTGAGGTGCGGCGCATCCTGATCGAGAGGATGCCGAAGCCCGAGGAGGTGCTGGTGGTAGAGGACGAGAACGGGCAGGTCGTCAAGGAGCATCTCAAGGACGTCGAGGTAGTGGCTCTGCACAAGACTGTCCGTGAAACCTTGGTCTACCTGACCCACCTTGACCACCAGCAGACAGAGGAGATCATGATCGAGAAGTTAGGGCTGCAGGTGCACCCGGCTCCGGGGGGCCCTGGGTGGTCACGTCAGGGCCTGAGCACTCTTTGCTGGGCGATCGGGTCGATATCAGGAGCGATGCGGGAGGACGATGAGAAGAAATTCCTTGTACATGTGATCAAGGACCTGCTAGGGCTCTGCGAGATCGTCCGAGGGAAGGACAACAAGGCTGTGATCGCAAGCAATATCATGTATGTCGTCGGGCAGTACCCGCGGTTCCTCCGTGCGCACTGGAAGTTCTTGAAGACTGTTGTAAATAAGCTCTTTGAGTTCATGCACGAGACGCACCCTGGAGTCCAGGACATGGCGTGCGAGACGTTCCTCAAGATCTGCCAGCGCTGCAAGCAGCAGTTCGTCAAGCACCAGCCTCAGGAGCCAGCCCCTTTCATCGACCAGCTCCTCATCGGCCCGCACTCCACGGTAGCTGACATCGGCTCGACCATCGCAGACCTTGAAGCGCATCAGATCAACATGTTCTACGAGGCCGTCGGGTACATCGTCGCCGCCGAGCTGACGCCGGAGCGACGGGACCAGATCGTGCAGGTGCTGTTCAAGATTCCGAACCAGCGGTGGACCCAGATCATTGGGAGCGCCATGCAGGATCCCAACTTGCTGCAGCAGCAGGAGACGATGAGGGAGATCGCCAAGGTGCTCCAGATCAACGTGCGGGTGTCAAGCTCGCTGGGGAACCCTTACATCATCCAGCTGGAGTACATCTTCGAGCGCATGCTGCAGGTGTACAAGATGTACTCGGAGCAGATCTCGCAGGCGGTCGTGGGCAACCCTCTGTCCGCCAAGACGTCCGGGGTGAGGCTGATGCGCGCGGTGAAGAGGGAGACGTTGAGGTTGATCGAGACGACGGTTGAGAAGAGCGAGGAGATGCCAAGGATCGTCGCCCACTTCGTTCCCCCGCTGGTGGACTACGTGCTGGCTGACTACCAGAGCAACCACCCGGAGACGAGAGACCCTGAAGTGCTGTCTGTCTTCGCTGCGATCATCCGCCGGGCCGGGGACTCCATCACCGATCAGGTGCCGAGGGTCCTGGGGGCCGTGTTCGAGTGTACGCTGGCGATGATCACGACCAACATGGAAGACTACCCGGAGCACCGGATCAACTTCTTCAACCTCCTCAAGGAGATCAATCATCACTGCTTCCGAGCCTTCTTCCAGGTCCCCGGGGAGGTCTTCAAGGTCCTCATCGACTCCATCGTCTGGGCCATCAAGCACAGGGAAAGGAACATCGCCGAGACCGGGCTGACGATCCTCCTGGAGATGCTCCGCAACCTCGACGGCCTGCAGGACATCGCTGCGCAGTTCTACGTCCAGTTCCTGCTGAACCTCCTCCACGAGATCTTCACCGTGCTCACGGACAAGGAGCACGAGCCAGGCTTTAAGCTCCAGTGCGCCATCCTGCAGCACATGATCTACCGGGTGATGGCTGGTGTCCCCAACACTCCTCTGTTTAACCCGTCGGAGTATCCGGGGGTCGCCGACAACAAGTCCTTCGTCAAGCAGAAGCTGCTAGCGATGCTGTCGGAAGGGTTTTCAGAGCGCATGACGCAGAAGCAGCTGACCGAGTTCGTGGAGAACCTCTTCGGACCTGAGAAAGGTGAGCTTGCTACTCCCCCCTCCAACACACGCACGCACACCAGCGCTCCCCTCCCGCCATGTTCTAACTGTACCGCGCCAGATATCGCTGCTTTCCAGACTCTCGTGCGGGACTTCTTGATTCAGATCAAGGAGTATAGCAGCGACCAGTGGACCGACAGCTCGCTGGCGTTGCAGTTGGAGCAGGAGCAGAAGGAGGCTGAGCGCAAGCGGGTGACGCCATCTCGAGGCGCTGCTGCTTGGGCTGGCTGGCTGACCTCGTGGTGTGCAGGTTGAAGAAGCCAGGATGCAGAACGTCCCTGGCCTGATGCCTGTGATGCAGAGGGAGGAAGTTGACATGTAAGCGCTTGCCCTGACGGTGGTTGGCCCGCGTGCTGACATGCGGTGGTGCCCAGGTCGTGAGGGGGACGCGCTGGATGTCAAGGGGCCAGGGAAGGAGGATGGAGGAGGAAAAGCTCTTGCCTCCTGTAGCGCCTTGATGCCGCTATCGCAATCTCGTTTTGATGAATGAAGCCTGTAAGTATGAGCTGCCCCCGTCTCTCCCCCCCCCGTCTCCCCTCCTATCCTCCTTCAACTCCCTCCCTTCCCTACTTGCTTCTCTCTCCCTCCCTCCCTCCCTTTCTCCTTCCCTCACTCCCCCCCTTCCTCTCTCTCCCTTCCCCTCCCCTCCCTCTCTCCCTCACCTTCTCCTCCTTCCCACCCTTGCTTTGCCCTCCCTCTCTCCCTTCTCCTCCCCTCCCTCTCTCCTTTCCCTTCCCTTCCCCTCCCTTGCTCCCTCTCTCACCCTTCCCCTGTCCTCCCTCTCTCCCTTTCCTTCTTCCTCCTTCTCTCCCTTACTTTCTCCTTCCCACCCTTGCCTTCCCCTCCCTCTCCCCCCTTCCACCTTCTCTCCTTCTTTCCATCCTTCGGATGAAGGGGGAGGGTCTGCAAGCACGAGAATCCCCTCCCCTCCCCTCCTCTCTCTTTCTCCTCTCCTATTTCATCTCCTCTCTTCCCCTCCCCGCCACTCTTTCATCCTTTTCGAGGCATACCACTACCTCTTCCACAGAAACGGCACAGGCGCGAGGCGGTGGAGGAGGAAGGGAGAGGCAAGGCCGAGACAAGCATTTCATTGAGAGCTTCACAGGAGGTTGTGTACCGTTATCCACCTCATGTCTGATCACGACTCCGCTATCCTCCCCTTGCAGTAGAACCTACATCTCCCACAGTGTTGGATCCATCGTGTAGCTGTTCCAGCATGAAGGTCTTGCTGCAGATGCCCCTTCGACGTCATATGATGGATATGGCGATTCCAGTTCTTGATAGCTGTACTTCCCTCTCTTTGTGAGCATAGCAATGACTACATCTCTATCGAGATCATAGAAGTAGCTCTCTCTTTCTACCTCATCATACCAGTATCTCGCTGTCTCTATCTCATCATACCAGTATCTCGCTCACCGTCATATCTGCTCTCCTCGTCCTCCCATTCCCTGTATAGTCGCCCTACTCACCGCCTTCATAACGGTGGGGACCGTATATAAAATTGTTGCAGGTGTACGAAAGGTATTACCATTGTACATAATTTTAGGCAAATATATCCATATTTTATATAAAGTTTAAAACTATTTATACTATATATTTTATTATGTATGGAAATGAATACTTAAAATTATTCTAAGCGGTCACCATCGACCATCCTAGAGAGCACTTTGACAAGGACCTCTACCCCTTTCAACCTCGTCCTCGTCCTCGTCCTCGTCCTCGTCCTCCTCGTCCTCGTCCTCGTCCTCGTCCTCGTCCTCGTCCTCGTCCTCCTCGTCCTCGTCCTTGTCCTTGTCCTCGTCCCTTGCCTGCCCTTCCCTGCCCTGCCCTGCCCTGTCCTGCCCTGCCCTTCCCCTTTCTCCCTTTGCTTCCCTTCACTTCTCTCCCCTCACCTTCCATATTGATCGACTTGCTGTCGTCCTCGAAGATGAAGGGACCGTCGGAGGGAGGGCGGCGAGGGCTCGACGGTTTGACTAAATCGAAAACCGGATCGTAAAGGATCTAGCCTGCTATCTTACTTGCAATCACAACAATCCCAATCATTGCATCATCATCGTTCTTAACATGCCGATTTCAAAAGCTGCATCTTTGTCAGAATCGAACCATGTTTGCCGCAAGTCGCTTACGTTGCCATCGCATCGTGATATCTAGAATGCTGGTTACTGTCGTCTTCTCATCCTGTCATATCACCTATCATATCTCGACATTGTTGTTATCCCTCTCTCCCTCCCTCCTCGTTCTCATCACCTCTTCCTCCTTCTCATCATCATCATCATCATCATCATCACTCTTTTCCTCCTCCACCTTCTTTTCATCATCACACTTCCTCCTCCTTCTTCTCATCATCATCATCGTCAGCTCCTCCTGCTCGCAATCACTATTATCACCAGCTTTTCATTGACAATCATATGGTTGTCTGAGGGCAACATATCTAGAGCCGATTTGAACAATGCAATTAAGGATTGTTCTTATGAAGCATTTGTTTCAATGCATGAAATAGATACATTTATCCCTGTACCCCGTACGTAAACTGATTCAGTATGGCACGTTGGCTTATTTTGGCGTGTATTTCAGTAATTTGCAGGCATCTAACTTCATTCATTCTTGACTATTTCTGTACTTGAGATATTCATTCTGCAAGGTCTCGATACCCTCTCTGGGTATGAGAACCGCTAATGTTTTCACACGCCACAACACATGATAATACTGCAACAGTACTCCGTATGTGCCGATACGATTCCAAAATCATGTACAAAGATCACAGATCTTGAATGTAACCAAGGCAAAATTCGTAAAGCACTGGCCACTCGAAACCTGCCATCAATAAGAACTGCATCTAATCTTGAGCCATTTGCTTGCAAATGCTCGAGAATACCTATGTTTTGATCCACATACAGGTGAAACATTTCATCCACGTTTTGTGGTGGTACATTGCCAAAATCACCCATCGGAATCGTCGAATGAACGCATGAGTAGTTCAGCGCAGCTCTGTACATCAGGCATGAAACAACTTTCGAGTTTGTAATTTTCTCACACCATGGTGGGTAATTGTCCAATGCATATGTATGACCGGACAAAAGTGGGAATATCGATGTGGATTTCCCAGAGCCCCACTCAAGGTAAATTCTAGGTTTGATGAGAAGCAAGATTTGAACGATTACGAGCACTTCATCTTTGTGCATCAATGGAAGGGACTCCTCAGTCGGCGAGGAGAACAAACATTCCGGGTGACGTGTATTTCGAACTATCTGGATATTGATCTGATGTACATCGGCATTATTTACACAACGTATTTTCTTCAATTTGAAAATTGATTGCATTAGTGTCCCGTTCCATGCCATATCGCAAGGCAGCTGCATTTCGAACGCACCTACCTTCAATGGACTGTAAAAACGATTCCATCCCAGCAAATCACCTCTGATAGGATAAACTATGTATCTGAGCAAAGGAGAAATGCAAGATAACAGCAAGACGAGGATTACTAGCTTGACGATGCTATGTCGCGAGCTCGCATTGCTGCTCAAACGAAAGTTGAGCATGTCTCAGAACATGATCCACCGCTGATCCAGAGATGGTGAACTATAAAAAAGTTTGTACCAAAGATTATTTTATAAATGTATAAATGAGAAAAATCAAGTACATTGTAGATATTAAAACTCTTTAAGAGCTTGAGCATATATATCGTAATAAATAAACGTGGTACCATTCTGGTACAAAATATTCATACCACTATTAGTTACTCAATAAAGCTGACCAGCCCCAAAAAAGAATTTTAAAACCTGAAGGAACTGAAGGCTTGTCAGTGACTTCCAGGCTGGCCGCCGCCGGGCGGCCCGGCCCTCCGAGGCTCAGCGGCCGACGGTTTCTAGTAGCCAGGTTTAGGCTGGAACTTATCATGTGGTGTTTATCATGTGGTGTAGTCTCACACACAAGTGGTGTAGTCTCACACGCTTGCCTTTCAAGTTGAAATCCGAGATCCACCCGGTGACCGGGGGGCCGTCTCAGTCTGGTCACCGTGTTGCCTCGGGCCCGGCACTGGCAGCAGTGCGGCCCGGCTGGTTCAACGGTTACTTTCAGTTTCGGTCTTATATTTCGTGTGTTTGCGCCCGGCCGCGTTTGTTGCTGTGTTACGTACACCGCTTTCAGTTTTGTTGCTGTGTGCTCTCTGCCTGACGGTTTTGCTTGTTGCTGCTTTCTTCTGCTTCGGAGGCACCTTTACTGCGGCTTGAGGCACTTTTACTCAGACTGTTTCCGTCGGGCCGAGTTTAGAGCCGCTGGGCCCCGGGCCCGGAGAACTTGAAAAAAGGTCAATCAGGTAGAACGAGGAAAGAAGATAAGAAAGATGATGTCATGCTTTGAAATCAGCCTGCGAAGGCTGTTGAGGAACTGGAGGAGAGGAGGAGGAGGGGAGGAGGAGAGCAGGAGGAGAGGAGGAGGAGAGGAGGAGGAGAGGAGGAGGAGAGGAGGAGGAGAGGAGGAGGAGAGGAGGAGGAGAGGAGGAGGAGAGGAGGAGGAGAGGAGGAGGAGAGGAGGTGCGAGGAGGAGGAGAGGAGGAGGAGAGGAGGAGGAGAGGAGTAAGTAGGTAGGCCGATTATCGATGAGGCTCAGCAGTAGAGAGGCAGAGGAGGAGACAAGTTGGAACTATTCTTGCCTGTCTGACCTGTGCTGGTACAGAGCGACATCTGCACGGAGAGCCGGGGAGAATCGGACATGTTCAACAGTAGGTAGAAGTGAATTTGGACTCAAGAGACGTGGCAAGTTCCGATTCCTGTCAGACAGCATGCTGTCTCGCCCAGGGCTCTTCTTTCTTTTGGCTTCTCTCGCCCTCGTTGTTCTCCCCATCGCTGTCTTCGAGTTGAGGATCGCCCATTCTCCTACCACCAAGATTCATTCTCCCCTCCAGTTTCTCCGCCATAACGCGCGAGAGTGGCTGACCCATGCTCGAGCGCAAGATCAGGCGCTCCTCAAGCTGCATGGTGCGAATGAAACTGAGCGCAAGCAAACTCCGACAACAGTAGCGGGCAGGAATCAGGTAGGTACAGCTAGGCCTCGCGTCGATCAGGCTGAGTTGCACGCTCGATTTGCCGTGCCTGACAGCCTTTGGCCACCATCGAAAGCTGTGATCAACAACGCCAGCCTTGACTTGAAGCTGAGAATATCTGCCACCAAGCGCATGTACATCACGTATGGGCAGAACTGTTGCGTGAGCGCCAAGGATCGAGCTTGCAGGCACGCGAAGAGAGAAGGGAAGTTTGATGCCTGCAAAGCGTTTTCGCAGAGTGACATCGACCAGAGCTTCCAGCGAAGAAACCAAGAGATCTTCAATGTTGGCAGAGGAGCTGGGCTATGGCTCTGGAAGCCGTATATCATCAACAAGACTCTGCACGAGGATCTCAACGAGGGGGAGTACCTTGTGTACGTCGACGCCGGCGCCGTCATCAAATCGCCGATCGATCCCATGCTTGCTTTCATGGAGGTTCAAGACAGCAAACTACAGGTGCTGGGATGAAAAGTTATCGACTTCAGCGATTGATCGCATCTGCCAGGGCGTCTTGACATTTGGAGTTGGATTTGAGCAATTCATGTATTGTAAACGAGACACTTTCATCATTCAGAATTGCGATACCTCGGTAAGCAAGTCCGACAACCTTGGTCGATCTTGACTCGTCGCCAAGGAATGCCACGAGGCCATGCAGGTAGACGGCTACCTGAGCGTGTGGCGGAAGAGCCAACATGCGCTCGAGGTCGTGCAACAATGGCTGAGGTGAGAAATCAAACCCCCTCCTCACTTGATGGAACGCGTCGACCGTCAAGGTGACTGACGGGAGTGTTAGGGAGTGTCAAGACCTTCAGAGTCTGTCGGATGATGAAAACGTCAAGGGTGAACCCAACCTTCCAGGTGAAGCTGCTTGCTTGGACCTGCAGAGACAGACTTGCTGATCAGGGTATCGGGCCCATCGGCACGATCAAGCGATCCTCACCAACATCTTCACGCGCGAGAAATGGTGCTTCTGCTGACCTTGACGGCCATGATCTCTTAGTAACCAACGGTCATCTTGACAGGGGGAGGGAAACCCAGCACGGGCCCGTCCAGTTCATGTTCTCTCATGACCGAGACAAGACGTAAGGGGACATGAAGTGACTCGGGTTCGAGCTTTGTGGGGCAGAAGCTGGCGACTCGATGATGACTCATTGGAAGAGGAGGAGAAGAAGCTCAGTTCATGATGACTGAGCGAAAGAGCTTAGAGCCTGGAATGAGGCTACTGGAACAGATCACAAAGGAATTTCAGATGAGGAAACACTTGATCCCTTGAAGTGAAGAAGTTCCAATCAGTTTTGAATATCCACGAATTCTTTATTTCTCCTTCTTTCTTCCTACTCGGAATCTCGGCCTCGTTGGCTTGTACGGAGGCGTCTCGATAACAGAGACATTATCTTTATTTGTTCTTGATGATAACAGAGGCATTATTATCTTTATTTCTTCTGCTTTCTCCCTCTTTTCCTCCTTCAGCCTCGGGCGGAGGCGTCTCGATCACTCCCGTCGCCTTGTCACAACCTGCTGGGTTTCCCGGGTCGATTCTCAAGCAGATCTCTCGGTAGATTTGCATGTCCAGACGATTTCTACTTTTGATCAGCTCTCGGATCTCATCGCTTACCGCCGTTGTCTTTTGCGTGCTTTTGTTGTTCCTAACTTTCCCTTGCTGTCCCTCATACCCGAACTCCCGTGCAAACGCCTGGTTGGAGGCCTTCGGCCTATCCAGCAGAGCTATGAAGGAGAACGGTCCGCTGGCGCCTGGTTGGCTGCAGAGGTACTGTTGTTCATGCCCTCGAACGAGCCGTAATGCTCTTTTACCCATGAGATGACATGTACTGCGTTGGTCATTACACACTCATCATGAACATACTTTCCATCATGCAGCAAGAAGAAAGCAAGCCGGTTGTGCGCCACGTTGTTCTCTTCGAGCACCCACTCTTTCAAGCTCGAGCTCTTCTGCTGAGAGAATGCTGCTGTCCACATTTTACGAGAGAAGTTCACAGTTTGTGACAATGCTCAAGTCGAAAACCGGATCGTAAAGGATCTAGCCTGCTATCTTACTTGCAATCACAACAATCGGAATCATCGCATCATCATCGTTCTTAACATGCCGATTTCAAAAGCTGCATCTTTGTCAGAATCGAACCATGTTTGCCGCAAGTCGCTTACGTTGCCATCGCATCGTGATATCTAGAATGCTGGTTACTGTCGTTTTCTCATCCTCTCATATCAGCTATTATCATTGCCATCGATTTATCCTCCTCCTCGTCCTCCTCGTCCTCCTCGTCCTCATTCTTCTCCTCCTCATTTTGTTTCTCCCCTCCCCTCCCCCCCGCCAACCATCACTCCCCCTCCTTCATATTCAAATTGATGATCGTGTCAATCCCCCAACTCTCCTCTCTTCTCTTCTCTTTTCCTCTCCTATCCCCATCCTTGCTTTCATATATTATCATACTCTCTTCCAACTCTACATCTTTCAGAATCTCTTTCAAACAATTCCTCTTCCTCCTATCTCCCTCCCGTGCCTTCCTGTCCTCCGCATCGTCATTGTTCCCTCCCTCCCTCCTCCTCCTCCTCCTCCTCAGAGGAAAAAAGAAAATTGTACGGGTCAAAATCGAACTCTCAAAATATTTGAAATTTTATTTCATTAAAATTTGAAATTTCATACAACAATTACAGAATTTCAAGCCCCTCTAAGGACTGTCGGCCTTCGGGCTGAAAAGGCGCAGAGGACGTCGCCATGTCGTAGGGGAGGGGAAGGAGGAAGAGGAGGAGGAGGAGGAGGAGGGGAAGGAGGAGGAGGAGGAGAACAGAAAGATGGAAGGGATAAGGAGGAGATAGAGACTGCAATACGATAGGACAAGCGATGGAGGAGGAGGAAGAAGGGGAGGAGGACGACGAAGGACGAAGGGGCGGGAGGGAGGGAGCTAGAAGGGAGGAGAGGAGCTCTTCGTTGAGAGGTGGGTCGTGATACCCTCGAGCATTGAGAGGAAGGGAGGGAGAGAGGAGAGACTGGAGGCATGGGAGAATCAGAACATGCTAATTGAAAGTTTCAATGGTAAACGATATCACAGGACAAAGTTCGGAAAGATGGAAGAGAGGATGGGAGGAGGAGAGAAGAGAGGGAGGAGAGAGAAAATGAGAAAGAATAGATAGGAAAAGCAACATGTTGAAAAGGAAAACTGATGGCTGTCATCTCGTCTTCTCCTCTGGAGATGACCTTTTCAGTTCTTTTCCTCAAAAGATTGGAGGTAGAATGATATGGAGAAGATTGTATGAAGAACACCAACTATGGAGAACACCAAGTACAGATAGAGAAGGAGAACACCAACTTCAGATAGAAAAAGCGCGAGATGAAATGAAGAGTGATCGGATTTAGTATCTTGTAAGAATCAAGTACAGATTGAGAGAAAGATCTCAGCACTCTCGTCCTTACTCATTGAAATTTTGCCACGCTCTCATTGGAATGTTGCTCTGTATTTTCAATCTCCTGACGCCCACTTTAGGTTGGAAGCCCAAGTCAAACTTTGAACCGTCGTGACTCCTCCTCCTCCTCCTCCTTCTCCTCCTCCTCGTCTTTCTCTCCCTCCCTCTCCTCCTGAAGCTCCCGGGCAGCCATGGACCAGGGTGTCAACGTGACCGACTACCGTTGTGAGACGGTCAACGAGGAATGCGAGGGCTTCGCCTACAAGGCAGAGATGCGGAGGATCAGGGAAGAGAGCGTGCTTGCCGACTCCTTCCTCTTCACCTGGGGCGACGGCAACGACGGCAAGCTCGGGCACCAGAGCGAAGAGAGCCTCTTCGTCCCCTACAACGTGACGATCCTCCAGCGTATGAGGATCAAGTCCTGCGCCCTGGGACGGAAGCACAGCCTGTTCCTCTCTGCCGAGGGCACCGTCTTTGCCTGCGGGAACGGCCAGTACGGCCAGCTGGGAACGGGCGCTGTGCTGGACTTCCGCAGCACTCCAGTGCACGTGCAGGGTCTGCAGAGGGTGAAGCAGCTCTCAGCTGGGGACTATCATAGCGTCGCCTTGCTGGAGGGAGGGGCGCTGTATGCGTGGGGGAGCGGGTCGTGGGGGAAGCTGGGGCTGGCTACGGACAACAATGTGACTGCTCCGAGAGTGATCGCGGCGCTGACCACGAGCATCGTTGAGCAGGTTAGGAGGAGGAGGAGGAGGAGGAGGAGGAGGAGGAGGAGGAGGAGGAGATGGGATGCAGATGATGACGATGATGATGAAGATGGAGGGGAAAATTCAGAATTGACATGGCAAAGTTGGACATTGGGAGAGAAATGGGAATTGGCGTGCTTGTTTGCTGAGTTTCCTGCC